CACGCCTGTCATCCCAGCACTTTGGGAGGCCGAGGCGGGTGGATCACGAGGTCAAGAGATCGAGACCATCCTGGTGAACATGGTGAAACCCCGTCTCTACTAAAAATACAAAAAATCAGCTGGGCGTGGTGGCGCGTGCCTGTAATCCCAGCTACTCAGGAGGCTGAGGCAGGAGAATTGCCTGAACCCAGGAGGCGGAGGTTGCGGTGAGCCGAGATCGCGCCATTGCACTCCAGCCTGGGCAACAAGAGTGAAACTCCTTCTCAAAAAAAAAAAAAGAAAGAAAGAAACAGATGCTCAACGTCGCCCACCCTTTCCCCTCTACCCCAGAGCCCCAAATGCAGCCAACTCCTGAAACTACCTGCTTCCCCTGTCTGCCAGCTGAGAGCTCTTGGGACTGGCTCTGTGCTCTGGCACTGCTTGATGGCGTCTAACTCATGAAATTTTCCCATTTGATTTTATTTTATTTTTGAGACAGGGTCTCACTCTGTCGCCCAGGCTGGAGTGCAGTGGTGTAATCTTGCCTGAGGGTTGGAGCGATTCTGGAGCCGCAGCCTCCCGGGTAGCTGGGACTGCAGGCCCCAGGCCACCACACCCGGCTAATTTTTGTATTTTTTGTAGAGACGTGTTTCACTATGTTGGCCAGGCCGGTCTCAAGCTCCTGACTTCAAGTGATCCGCCCCCATCAGCTTCCCAAAGTGCTGGTATTACAGGCGTGAGCCACCACGCCTGGCCGATTTTTCTCATTTTAGGGAGGAGGTAGCTAAGGCTTGGGGTCTTAGGTTGCACGTTATAGGTAGGACTGAGGCACAAGCCTATGGGGCTCTTGGACCCCAGTGTCCTTCTGGACCCTCTTGTTCTGCTCCTGTGCTCCTCCCACCCAGGGCCTCTCTGGCCCTGAGAGGAAGTACCAGCCTCCTCACATCCTCAACCTCCAGCCTCACAGCCTCTTGCAGGGGCAAATGCTTCCTTGCTGCACCATGCATTTGCTCAGACCACCCCGCTCCTAACTCCTCTTCCTGGTGCTCTGACTTAGCTGCTGCCCAGGCACCCCCTCCCCTCGCTCTCCCTTGCCGTGGGGGTTCCCATGTGCTGCGCAACGTTTACGGGGCTGACTGTGCCTCCTTAGGACCAGCTCCAGCAGAAGATCATGTGCCCTGGGCCTGTCACCTGTCTGACCACGTCACCCAACGGCCTCTACGTCCTGGCAGGAATTGCAGAAAGCATCCACCTGTGGGAGGTAAGAGGCGCGAAGTCTGAGGGTTCCCCAGGGCGTCTGGCCGTCTGAGTCTCACCTGCAGGGGCCTGGCGCCCTGGGACGGTGACTCACTGCTGAGGGGCCACAGCCTAACCATCACCCTGCTGCCTCCTTTCTCTGGGTCCCCTCGAGATTCCTGTGAGTCCCAAAGCGGCCCTGATCCTCCCTTGAGAGCTTGGATAGAGCCCTTTGCATGCAGTACCTAATATACACTGCAGGATCTTCGAGCCAGTGCCTGACACACACACACACACACACACACACACACACACACTGCACCTTCCAGTCGGTCCCTGATACACACACTGCACCTTCCAGCCAGTCCCTGACACACACACTGCACCTTCCAGCCGGTCCCTAATACACACACGTACCTTCCAGCCGGTCCCTAAGTCACACACTGCACCTCTAGCCGGTCCCTAATTCACACACTGCACTTTCTGGCAAGTCCCTGAAACATGCACACACTGCACCTTCCAGCCGGTCCCTGACACACGCTGCACCTTCCAGCCAGTCCCTGAAACATACACACACCGCACCTTCCAGCCGGTCCCTAATACACACACTGCACCTTCCAGCCGGTCCCTGACACACACACGCACCTTCCAGCCAGTCCCTAATACACACACTGCACCTTCCAGCCAGTCCCTGACACACACACGCACCTTCCAGCCGGTCCCTAATACACACACTGCACCTTCCAGCCGGTCCCTGACACACACACGCAGCTTCCAGCCAGTCCCTGACACACACACTGCACCTTCCAGCCGGTCCCTAATTCACACACTGCACCTCTAGCCGGTCCCTAATTCACACACTGCACTTTCCGGCCAGTCCCTGAAACATACACACACCACACCTTCCAGCCAGTCCCTGACACACACTGCACCTTCCAGCCAGTCCCTGACACACACTGCACCTTCCAGCCGGTCCCTAATACACACACACACCTTCCAGCCAGTCCCTGACACACACACTGCACCTTCCAGGCGGTTCCTGAAACATACACACACTGCACCTTCCAGCCGGTCCCTAATACACACACGTACCTTCCAGCCGGTCCCTGACACACACACACCGCACCTTCCAGCCGGTCCCTAATACACACACGCACCTTCTAGCCGGTCCCTGACACACACACGCACCTTCCAGCCAGTCCCTAATACACACACCGCACCTTCCAGCCGGTCCCTAATACACACACTGCACCTTCCAGCCGGTCCCTAATACACACACTGCACCTTCCAGCCGGTCCCTGACACACACACTGCACCTTCCAGCCGATCCCTAATACACACACTGCACCTTCCAGCCGGTCCCTAATACACACACTGCACCTTCCAGCCGGTCCCTAATACACACACTGCACCTTCCAGCCGGTCCCTGAAACGTACACACACTGCACCTTCCAGCCGGTCCATAATAAACACACTGCACCTTCCGGCCGGTCCCTGACACACATACTGCAGCATCTTCCAGGGCTGGCAGGCATCTCCTCCACGTAGGGGACAGTACTTGGCACTTGTAACCTCAAAGTTATCAGGAGCTGGGCAGAGTGGTTTGTGCCCGTAATCCCAGCACTTTGGGAGGGTGTGGCGGGCGGATCACCTGAGGTCAGGAGTTCAAGACCGCCTGGCCAACATAGTGAAACCCTGTCTCTACTAAAAATACAAAATTTAGCTGGGCGTGGTGGCCGGTGCCTATAATCCAGCTATTTGAGAGGCTGAAGCAGGAGAATCGCTTGAACCCAGGAGGCAGAGGTTGCAGTGAGCTGAGATGGCACCTGGGCCACAAAAGTGAAACTCCATCTCAAAAAAAAACCCAAACTACAGCCCAGTCCTCCTGCAGGGGCAGCCCTTGCCTTTATAACGTTTTTTCGAGACAGGGTCTTGCTCTATCACCCAGGCTAGAATGCAGTGGTGTGATCTTGGCCCACTGCAACCTATGCCTCCTGAGTAGCTGTGGCTGCAGGCACACACCACCGTGCCCTGAGAATGTTTATATTTTCAGTACAGACGGGGTTTCACCGTGTTGGCCAGCGTGGTCTTCAACTCCTGACCTCAGGTGCTTCACCCGCCTCGCCCTCCCAAAGTGCTGGGATTCCAGGCATGAGCCACCATGCCTGGCCCAGGACCCTGTTTATTTAATGCTCCCGTTTTCTTTCTTTCTTACTTTTTTTTTGAGACGGGGTTTCGCTCGTTACCCAGGCTGGAGTGCAATGGCGCGATCCCGGCTCACCGCAACCTCTGCCTCCTGGGTTCGGGCAATTCTCCTGCCTCAGCCTTCTGAGTAGCTGGGATTACAGGCACGCACCACCATGCCCAGCTAATTTTTTGTATTTTTAGTAGAGACGGGGTTTCACCATGTTGACCAGGATGGCCTCGATCTCTTGACTTCGTGATGCACCCGCCTCGGCCTCCCAAAGTGCTGGGATTATAGGCGTGAGCCACCACGCCCAGCCAGTGCCCCCTTTTTCTTACTGCTGGAGAAACCAGGTGACAGCAGCTTCTAGGCACACGCACAGCCTCGCTCCCGCTGTCACCTTAGCTCCCGCTGACATTTAGGTCAGCTGCTCCACTCTGCCCTGGTTAGGGGAGGCAGGCCTGGATGGTCTGAGTGTGTGGGCGCGGAGTTGTGCCAGTAAGTTTTACTCACACAGTCAGGCCTCTTGGGGTTTTGCCCCAATTGTAGCTGCTGGGTTAGAACATTGGCTGTTGTGGCCAGGCGCAATGGCTCACGCCTGTAATCCCAGCACTTTGGGAGGCTGAGGCGGGTGGATCACGAGGTCAAGAGATCGACACCATCCTGGTCAACATGGTGAAACCCCGTCTCTACTAAAAATACAAAAATTAGCTGGGCATGGTGGCGCGTGCCTGTCATCCCAGCTACTCAGGAGGCTGAGGCAGGAGAATTGCCTGAACCAGGAGGCGGAGGTTGCGGTGAGCTGAGATGGCGCCATTGCACTCCAGCCTGGGTAACAAGAGCGAAACTCCGTCTCAAAAAAAAAAACATTGGCTGTTGTTACAAATGGTCCATCATATTGGTGGGGAGAGCTGCCCTCAGTGCCACATGGAGCAGGGCACAGAGTACAAGATTTGGGCCAGAAGACGCAAAGGTAATCACGTTTCTGCCCTTCCTAACCGTATCCTTGCCTCCGCTAGTGGGCTGTCCAGAGAACTGAGAGGGCTGGGTGGGCGTGAGAGTTCTCTGAGTTATAAAACGGCTGCCGGGGGACGGGCATGGTGGCTCATGCCTGGAATCCCAGCACTTTGGGAGGCCAAGGCAGGTGGATCCCTTGAGGCCAGGAGTTCAAGACCAGCCTGGGCAGCATGGTGAAAACCCATATTTGCAAAAACTATAAAAATTAGCTGGGCATGGTGGCACCCACCTGTAATCCCAGCTTTCTCGGAGGCTGAGACATGAGAAATCACTTGAATCCGGGAGGTGGAGGTTGCAGCGAGCTGAGATCTTACCACTGCACTCCAGCCTGGGTGACAGAGTGAGACCCTGTCTCCAAAAACAAAGTGGGGCGAGGGACGTAGGAACGACAGGAGGCATGGTACTCTCATCCCCGGGACATGTGTGTATGTGTTTAACTTTTAAACTTATTTTTGAGGTGGGGTCTCACTACATTCCCCTCGCTGGTCTCGAACTCCTGAGCTCAGGCAATCTGCCCGCCTCGGCCTCCCAAAATACTAGGATTACAGGCGTGAGCCACCATGCCCGGCCGTCAAGGCTTTTAAGTCTTAGTCCATGATTTTGAAACTGGGATACTGTCGCTGAGGCGCAGAGAGGGAAACTGAGGCAGGGAGGTGCTGGCTCACGAGTTCCCCCTCACAACGGACCTCCTGGCCCTGGTTGCTGTCAGCCTGGTGTAGAGGGGCACGTGGGTAGGAATTAAATGTGTCATCACCCCATGGGGGATGTCTTAGGCAGGGCCCCTTCCTGTTCTTTGCTAGGGACAGTGTGCCAGGTGGCACGCACTGCCAGACCCCTGCTTCCCCAGCCTCCTCCATATTTGTTTGTTTTTTTTGTGTGATGGAGTCTCGCTCTGTTGCCTGGGCCGGAGGGCATTGGCCCAGTCTCAGCTCACTGCAACCTCTGCTTCCCGAGTTCGAGTGATTCCCCTACCTCAGCCTCCCGAGTAGCTGGGACTACAGGCACCTGCCACCTCGCCCGGCTAGTTTTTGTATTTTTGGTAGAGACAGAGTTTTGCCGTGTTGGCCAGGCAGGTTTTGAACTTCTGGCCTAAGGTGATATGCCCGCCTTGGCCTCCCAAAATGCTGGGATGACAGACATGGGAGAGTTTCTGACTGGTGTGAGCTGTGACCACAGGGGGGTCCCCGATATGTTGAGCTGGAACCCAGGCCGGGACTGCCTCAACTGTACCCCCGCCACAGTTGAAACCTGTTCGTGCAGGTGACGGGTGTGAATAGTGAGTCAGGAGGGGCTGGAAACCTGAGAGCCGGGGCTGTGGGGCTGGGGCTGGTCTATCCCGCCCACGCTATGGGGACAGGGGCCTCCCAGGAGGCACTGATGCTGCCCTGTCTGCCCTGCCCAGGCAGTGGTGGTCACCAGGGCTGCCCTCGGTGGTTTCGCGCTGACCTGGACCCTGTTTCTTTTTTTTTTTTTTTTAATTTAATTTTTTTTATTATTTTTTTTATTAAGACAGGGTTTCACCATGTTGGTCAGGCTGCTCTTGAACTCCCGACCTCAGGTGATCCGCCCGCCTTGGCCTCCAGAGTGCTTGGATTACAGGCGTGAGCCACCACACCCAGCCTTTTTTTTCTGTTTTTTTGAGACGGAGTTTCACTCTTGTTACCCAGGCTGGAGTGCAATGGCGCAATCTCGGCTCACCACAACCTCTGCCTCCTGGGTTCAGGCAATTCTCCTGCCTCAGCCTCCTGAGTAGCTGGGATTACAGGCACACGCCACCATGCCCAGCTAATTTTTAGTATTTTTAGTAGAGACGGGGTTTCACCATGTTGACCAGGATGGTCTCGATCTCTTGACCTCGTGATCCGCCTGCCTCGGCCTCCCAAAGTGCTGGGATTACAGGCGTGAGCCACCGCGCCTGGCCCCTGGACCCTGTCTCATCCCGTGCCATTTAATCCTCCACAGCCACCCTGATTGTTGCAGGCAGGGAAACCAAGGCCCAGAGAAGGGCCACAAAGCACCATGCACAGGGGCTTCGGGCAACAGAAACTCATCCCCATCCTGAGGCCAGAGGTCCTAAATGAAGGTGTCTGCAGGCTGCGCTGCCCCCGGAGGGCCCGCAAGGAGCCTTCCCACCCCTCACAGCTGATGGCGGTGGCCAGCGCCCTTGGCTTGTGGGTGAATCTCACCTGCCTCTGCCTCACCACCGCCACGTGGAGCCCCTATGTGTCTGCATTTCCCTCTGCTTTCAAGAACCAGGACACCCTGGATGGAGCCCCCCACCCTCCAGAATCGCCTCATCTTAACTTGCTATATGTGCAGGGACACTGCATCCAAATAAGGCCATTCACAGGTCCCAGTCAGGACTTTAACACGATTCTGGGGGGAAACACGATTCAACCCGCAGCCCCCGCCAGAGCAATCAGAGCCTCTCAGCCCTCGCCAGGCGTCCCGGAAGGGGCTCCCTGTCCTCGTCCTCAGATGGAGCTGCCTGGCTTCCTGCTGGGGCTCCAGCTGCCCCCATCCCCATCAGGCCACCGCAGCCTGCTCGGAAGTGCAGTCCCGCTGAACTGGGGGAGCTGCCTGCAGGTTCTGAGTGCAGCCGTTCCTTCAGGACCCGTGCGGGAAGCCTGTGCCCTCCCTAGGGTCAGGCTCACGACACCGGCACCTGAGGCGACAGGGCAGGGCAGGGCAGGAGATGTGCCCCCTTCCTGGGCGGTCACACAGGTGGGGACGAGGCAGGAGCAGGCGCACACACAGTCTGTGCAGGGGCGCTACCCTGCTGTGTATGCCGGCTCCTGCCAGGGCAGACCCACCCACAGTCGAAGGCAGGGGGCGGCGGTGTGGTTCCCAGAGCTGCAGCCCCGTTTCCTCCCCGACCTGGATGCCTTCCGCCCCTCACAGGTCTCCACCGGGAACCTTCTGGTCATCCTGAGTCGACACTACCAGGACGTCTCCTGCCTGCAGTTCACCGGGGACAGCAGCCACTTCATCTCGGGGGGCAAGGACTGCCTGGTGCTGGCTTGGAGCCTCTGCAGGTCCGAGCCTTGCGAACCCGGCCTGCACCCAGGCTCGAGCAGGGAAAGGAGGCGCCAAGGCCCCTGGCGGGAAGGGGCTTCTCCTGGGGGCTGGAGTGCAGAGGATGGCGTGATCGTCCCAGCTGTCCTGTCTGCCCATGTTGGGGTGTGGTTTGTCCCGGCGGCCGTGGGGGCCCAGGCTTGAGTTTACTCAGGTGAGGCAGGCCAGGCTACTGAGCAGAGGCAGGTGTGTGTGTGAGGTGGGTGCGGAGGTTTGGCTGCCGTGGTCCCTCCCCTCCCCGCCAGCTGACCACCTGCCCCATGCCACCCAGCGTGCTGCAGGCTGACCCCGCCAGGATCCCGGCGCCCCGGCACGTCTGGTCTCACCACACGCTCCCCATCACGGACCTGCGCTGCGGCTTTGGGGGCCCCCTGGCCCGGGTGGCCACCTCCTCGCTGGACCAGACGGTGAAGGTAGAGCCACCTCCGCCCCCCCATCCCCCCACGGTCTGTGAGCAGAGCCCAGCAGCCGCAGGTCCTCAGCCAGGAATGCAGGAATCGCCTCCTCCCCCTCCTGCTGTCAGAGCTCCAGACAGCTTCTAATCCCCTGGTGCTCTGAGCACAAGGATGTCCAGGGAGGGTGGGCCTGCAGGTCTGCCAGCCTGGAAATTCCCACTCATTCACCGTTTCTGGCCCGGCTCCCTGCCCAAGCCGGGGAATTGGAAGTCACTGCTAACCCTTGAGCCATGGCTGGTGGTCCTGGGAGGGAGACCCAGGGCTCATCAGCCGGAGATCAAGCTCTGTTTCAGCCCAGACATGTCCCCTAGTCCCCCAGACCCACAAGGTGACGGCTTTCACTCAGTCCCAAGCCCCAGGACCAGAGGACAGCGGACGCCTGACCTCCCTGGTGCCCCTCCCTGGATCCCTGTTCCCACGGGGTCCTCGGGTTCCCCAGAGCTGGGGTGAGCCCCACACCCTTTGCCTGCCCGCAGCTGTGGGAGGTCTCCTCGGGGGAGCTGCTCCTCTCCGTACTCTTTGATGTGGCCGTCATGGCGGTGACCATGGACCTGGCCGAGCACCACCTGTTCTGCGGGGGCAGCGACGGTTCCATCTTCCAGGTGGACCTGTTCACCTGGGTGAGTGCATCGGGCGGGCGGTGGGCTGCGCCCTGCCCTGGGGCTGAGGGCATCGGCCCTGCTGCTCACACCCGTCTCCGCCTTTGCAGCCGGGACAGAGGGAGAGAAGCTTCCAGCCAGAGCAGGACTCCGGGAAGGTCTTCAAAGGGCACAGGTGGGGAGCTGGGGGCACAGGGGCGATGTGGGCATGGGGTGGGGGCTCTCTGGCATGTCCTGCCTGGCACTGACCCCCGCCTGTCTGTCCAGGAACCAGGTGACCTGCCTGTCAGTGTCCACGGACGGCAGCGTGCTGCTCTCGGGCTCCCACGACGAGACCGTGCGGCTCTGGGACGTGCAGAGCAAGCAGTGCATCCGGACGGTGGCCCTCAAAGGTGGGCGCGCCTCTGTGCTCAGCCCGCGTCCATTGCAGGTGGAGGCGAGGCCTGGGGTCCCAGGGAAAAGCCCTGCAGGAGCTGGGGTGGGGCCTGGCTAGGGGTCAGGCCTGGCTTTCTGCGGAACGGGGACTGGCCGGGATGGGGCGGGGCCTGGTCGGGGTGGGGCGGGGACTGGCTGGGATGCTGTGGGCCTGGCCGGGATGGGGCGGGGCCTGACCACCGCGCCCCCCAGGCCCCGTCACCAATGCCACCATCCTGCTGGCACCCGTCAGCATGCTGAGCTCAGACTTCAGGCCCAGCCTGCCGCTGCCTCACTTCAACAAGCACCTGCTGGGCGCCGAGCACGGGGACGAGCCGCGCCACGGGGGCCTCACTTTGCGCCTGGGTCTCCACCAGCAGGTACAGCCCCCAGCAGGGAACCCCCACTGCCCTTTGGTTTCGGAAGTCCCCGCGGACCCTGGCTCCCTTGGTCCTGACGCCCGTGCGGCGTTTCCCCTGGCCCGGAACTGGAGGGCACATCATGCGGGCCGGATGGTGACGCTCCGTGAGGCCTCTGCACACCCTCAGTGCGGACTCAGAGGCTCTGAGAAGTTAACCACCCCTCGACTCCGGACAGCAGGTCCGAGCTGCGCACCCCACTCACCGGCCTTTCCGCCACCGGAGATCTGACGGTCAGCCAGGTCTTTCTGCAAAGGGCTGATGGCCCATATTTTGGGCTGTGAGGGCCAGAAGTTTCACGTCTGGGTTGCTGAAGGTGCAGGAGCAGCCGTGGGGGCAGGGAGGGGGTGGGGCCCTGGTGGCTGCAGGTTTCTCCCACGGGGGCTCGGGGCAGCCTCTTGGCCTGGCCGAAGTCACACCCTCCCTCCCTGCAGCTCAGCACCATCCCCTGCCCTGTGCAGGTACCCCTGTGGGTTCCCGTGCCTTCTGGGAATAGCGTGGCTTCCAGAATACTCCCACCCCAGCCCCAGAACCCTCACAGAAGCCATTGTGGGGGACTGGGTCGGGCTGAGGGGTCCTTGGGCCTGGGGAGGCCTCCCAGCGTCTCTTCCCGCCACAAGCCCCGACCTTCGGAGCCACCTGCGCCCTTGCTGTTTCATGTCCCTGTCTGTATCCCTTGCGGGCTGTAGCGCGTGGCATTTCTCCCCACGCGCTCTCCTCTCACCTGAGTACAGATGCATTTCTTACCTGGAGGGTGCCCGCCAGCCCAGCAGGCCCTGCACCAGGAGGCGCCGTGGTCTCCCTCCTCTCCTCTGTGCTGTTCAGCGGAGTGACGCTCTGTCTTCCTACATACCGATGGGCACCGGGGTGGGCATCTGCAGGCCCCTCGGACTACGAGGAGGCCAGGAGCACAGGCTGGACTGACCACTCACAGGGTGGGTGCAAGGGGGGCACACCTCTGTGTTCAGGAAGTGCCAGAACTTTCGGAGTGAAAACAGGCCTCCAGTAGCATGGAGCCAGCGCCATGCTTGGGTGCATGCCCAGCCATGTGCCCTCCCCAAAACCCCTCCTCAGCTGGCTTCAGTGGGATTCCGGAGGCAGCCAGGCGAGGCCCTCCAGTAATGCCGCGACCTTTCCCTGGCTGCCCCACCCGGCTCCCTCCCAGCCGTGATGGTCGCCAGCTCTCTGTGACCTTTGTTCCAATCCAGCTGACACTGGGGTGTCGTCCTGTCCCACAAACAGGCGCTGAGGTGCCCATGGCAGAGTGGAGGGTGGAGTACCTGATCTCCGACGCCCCACAGCAATGTCCCTTCATGCAGCTGGTCCCTATGCACAAGGCAGGGACTTTGCTGGGCCTGCAAGACCTTCCCACGGCTACAGGTTCTCACCGTCTACCGGGCCCTGTGTCCCAGGGCCTTCCCAGGTTCACTGGTCTTTCCAGGCCTGGCCATCTGCACCTCCGTCCGCAACCCCAGGGACTCCTTGGGTGCAGTCGTGAGTGGATCTGGGGTGCTGGGTGCTGGCTGCTGGCTGCATGGCCAGAGTCAGGGTTGTGATCTTCAGGCTCGACAGAGGTGAACGCTACGGCCTCAGTCTCCCTTTCTGTCTGTAGGCGTCCCGGTGGCCCCTCCCTGGCAGAGTGGCTGCCCATGCTATTGGCGGTGGCATGGGCGGATCGTGCGGTGTGTGGGTCAGGGCACGCTCCAAGGTCACGCGGCCCCCTGTGTTGCAGGGCCTGGAGCCCAGCTACCTGGATCGCACGGAGCAGCTGCAGGCAGTGCTGTGCAGCGCCATGGAGAAGGTGGGCGGGGCCTCCGGAGGGCGGGAGGGCGGGGAGATGCCGAGCTGCCCTCTGCCCTCTGCCCTCTGACCCCCACCCCTCCCGCAGAGCGTGCTCGGCGGCCAGGACCAGCTGCGCGTCCGCGTGACGGAGCTGGAGGACGAGGTGCGCAACCTGCGCAAGATCAACCGCGACCTGTTCGACTTCTCCACGCGCTTCATCACGCGGCCGGCCAAGTGAGGCCCGGAGACCCCGCCCGCCCGGCCCGGCCCCTCCCCGGTTCTGTGTCCCCGTGTCCTGCGGGGCGCGTCACGTTGGTGTTAGTCTGTTTTTCACAAAAGAGAATGAAAAGCTCCTCCCTGTCCAGCCTCCTCGTGTCGGAGGGTGGCCGGGTGCGGGGCGCAGGTCAGACCCCAGGTCCACTCGGCAGCCTCGATGAGGGGTGGAGACCTCAGCGCAGGGGCGGCTTTAAGAGGGGTCCAGAGCAGCTGCGGGTCTCAGACTGGTCCGTCGCCCCAGGGCCTCTGCTTGGAGGGAGGTGGCTTGGTGTGGACAGACGGGCCTGGGGGTGCTGGGGTGGACCCAACTGCCAGGGTTGAGGGGTTTCCTGGGGTGCAGCGCCCAGCTCTCCACGAGGTTTTTGAGGCCCCTGGTCTTCGTGGGAACCCAGCGCTCGGGACCGGCAGGAGGAGGGAGCTGGTGTGGGCAGGGGGTGTCCCTCCCGTGCCTGGGGGCCTCTGCTGGCTTCCCCAGGGCCCAGCCGGAGCTGCCCAAACCACACTCCAGGGCAGTTTTCTGGGCAAAAGGTGCCCTGGCCTCAGTCTGGGGTACCTTGTGCATCCAGCAAATGTGGCCACTGCAGGTTGGGACCCTCCGGTGGGTCGGGGGCGGGGTGTCCCCTTCTGAGCGGGTCTGGAGAGGGACTTGTCCCACACACACACACCATGGGCTGTGCTTGTGGGCATCCAGGGCCTGAGGGAGGCTGGGCCCTGCCGCCCTGGGAACAGCGAGTGCCAGCGCCCGGAGCTTAGCACAGACAGCCTGAATCTTCCAGAAAGCTGCCCTCAACTGCCAGTCCTGCCTAACGATCCAGAAAATCCGTGTGATTTAGCGGGCGTCATAATGACTTCAGCTTTGAGCCGGCCGCCAGCGCTGAGTTCATGCTTTTAGGCTAATTTGTGTCCTTGTCCCCTCTACAGGGCTCTGAGCCCTTCGGCTGGTGTCCTGGACATGATGCGTCAGGGAGGCTGGGCCCTCAGCCGGCACCAGCATCCACTCGGCTGCTCAGAGCCCTGAGGGCCCCTTGAGGGTCCTGTGCCCGCCCTGCTTGTTCTATCCCATAATGAGCCACTAGCACTGCAAGGCCTGGTCCTGCCTGCAGGGAGCACACAGGTTTGAGGTGAGGCAGCTGAGGGTCCCTTGGGGTTGGCTGATCTCCCTGGGATTGTGCTGTTCCCCTGGGGCCTTTCCCATGGCCCCTGCCCCCACCCAGCACCACTCAGGACCCCCAGCCACCAACTTGAGGTGGTGGCTGGGGGTCCTGAGAATAACTTGAGGGTATCTGCACAACCCTGTGGCTGGTGCCAGGGCTGGGGTGAGGGTGTGCACAGCCATAGAAGTACTGCTGCCTGGGGACCGGACAGGGCCACAGCTGCTCAGAGAACCCAAATCAAGCTGGGCATTAACCTACAGGCCACTGCACAGCCTCCTGCATCCACAGGGCCATTTGGGGTTGAGGCCAGCCACCCCCTCTGCAGGCTGCAGACAGCGGGCAGATGAGAGCACCGACCGCAGGGGCGGGGCCTGGTGGCCTCAGCCAGCCAGCCCCTGGCTCCGACTCGGAGTTCTTGTCTGTAGAAAGGGAACGTTCCCCTGTGGGCCTGCCAGGAGCCTCTGCGGGGCGGAGGGGAGGCCGGAGCTCACGCCTCAGGCCCTGCGTCTCCCACCATGTACCCTGCACAGTGGGTCCTCGGACACAAGTCCCCTCCTGCGCCCTCATCACACCGGGGCCTTCATGCACACGGACCTTGGCTCCCTTCTGCATCCGAACGGACGGGCTTGTGCAATGGAGGCAGTGGGATCATCGCTCAGCCCCCCGGGAGGCCCCACAGATTCTGAGGCATGGGTGTGGGGATTTGGGGAGGTCAAGCCTTGATGAGAGGGGAGGCTGATGTGCACAGGTGACCTGGAGGCGGCGGGGCTCAACTCTGCAGATCATAGCAGGGGGCCCCTGTGCGTGGCGGGACAGCTGCCAAGTAAAGCCCGGGCAGCAGAAAACATCGTGGGCGAGGAGGTGAAGCCACAGCCCTCCCAAGCCCTGGTGCAGACGTGAAATGGGACATCCACTGTGAAAAAAAACGGCCTGGCAAGTTCTTTTTTTTTTTTTTTTTTTTTTTTTTTTTGAGACGGTGTCTTACTCTTTCTCCCAGGCTGGAGTGTGCCATGGTGTGATCTCAGCTCACTGCAACCTCCATCCCCCTAGGTGTTCAAGCCATTCTCCTGCCTCAGCCTCCCAGGTAGCTGGGATTACAGGCACCCGCCACCACACTCGGCTAAGTTTTGTATTTTTAGTAGAGATGGGGTTTTGCCATATTGGCCAGTCTGGTCTCAAAACTCCTGACCTCAGGTGATCCACCCTCCTCGGCCTCCCAGAGTGCTGGGATTACAGGCGTGAGCCAGCGCGCCTGCCCAGTCTGGCAGGTTCTTAAAAATTAAACAGCAAAGTGGCCTGTTTGCACAGTGCGTTCAGGTGTAGGGCCTGCAGCTGCAAGGTTGCTGGTTCAAATTCTCAGTGGAGCCAGTCTTAAATTGGCAAAACCTTTGGCCGGGCGCGGTGGCTCACGCCTGTAATCCTAACACTTTAAGAGGCCGAGGTGGGTGGATCACCTGAGGTCAGGAGTTCAAGACCAGCCTGGCCAACATGGTGAAATCCCATCTTTAAAAAAAAAAAAAAGAAAGAAAGAAAAAAAATTAAACAGCAGGCCGGGCATTTTGAGACTGTCAAAAACAAACAAACAAACAAACAAAAAACTGCATTAAGGTTGGACCCAGTAAGTCTACACTTCTGTTTGCCCAAGACAATGAAGAGCAGGATCTTGATTGCACACGGAGCTCACAGCAGCTCCATCCCCACAGCCAAAAAGCGGGGTAAGGCCAGGCACGGTGCTCACTGTGGGAGACTGAGGCAGGAGGATCACCTGAGGTCAGGATCACCTGGCCAACGTGGTGAAAATACAAAAAATACAAAATACTAAAAATAGAAAAATTAGGTGGGCGTGGTGGCGCGTGCCTGTAATCCCAGCTATATTCAGGAGGCTGAGGCAGGAGAATTGCCTGAATCCAGGAGGCAGAGGTTGCAGTGAGTGGAGATCGCTCCACTGCACTCCAGCCTGGGCAACAGAGCAAGACTTCATCTCAAAAAAAAAAAAGGCGGGGGGGGGGGTGGGCACCAGGTGTCCATGCGTAGATGGATGGGTCAGGACAACACGGTCCTCTGCACAGTGGAATATTATTCAGCCTTGAAAAGGAATGAGAAGGCCTGTGCAGTGGCTGACCCAGTAATCCCAGCTCTGTGGGAGGCTGAGGCAGGATAATCGCTTCAGCACAGGAGTTTGAGACCAGCCTGGGCAACATCTCTTCAAGACCCAGTCTTTTAAAAACTACGAATTTTGGCCGAGTGCGGTGTTCATGCCTGTAATCTCAGCACTTTGGGAGGCCGAGGCGGGTGGATCACGAGGTCAAGAGATCGAGACCATCCTGGTCAACATGGTGAAACCCCGTCTCTACTAAAAATACAAAAAATTAGCTGGGCATGGTGGCGCTTGCCTGTAATCCCAGCTACTCAGGAGGCTGAGGCAGGAGAATCGCCTGAGCCCAGGAGGCGGAGGTTGTGGTGAGCCAAGATCGCGCCATTGCACTCCAGCCTGGGTAACAAGAGCGAAACTCCATCTCAAAAAAAAAAAAAAAAAAAACTACGTATTTTAGTTAGGTGTGGTGTGCGCCTGTGGTCCCGGGTACTTGGGAAGTCGAGGCAGGAGGATCTCCTGAGCCCAGAAGCTTGAGGCTGCAGTGAGCTATGATCTTGCCACTGCACTCCAGCCTGGGCAACAGATTGAGACGCAGTTTAAAAAAAGAAAAAAAGAAAAAGGCTCGGACACAGGCCACAGCATGGAGGCACCTTGAGGACGTCAGGCTCCGTGAGAGACGCCAGACATAAAAGGACAAGTCCTGTCTGATTCCGCTCACAGGAGGTCCCCAGAGTCGCCAGATTCACAGAGACGGAACGTAGCATGGGAGGCGTCAGGGCTGGGGAGAGGACAGGAAGCGAGTGTTCCTTGGGGACAGAGTTTCAGTTTGGGAAGATGAGAAAGTTCTGGAGAGCACGGTGGTGAGGGCTGCACAGCATTATGTGAGCTTCGTGCCGCTGAGTTGTGCACCTAGAAATGGTTCAGACGGCAAATTTCAACATGGAGAAATCCTTTCTCTACTGCAAATACAAATTAGCCGGGCGTGGTGGCATGCGCCGGTAACCCCAGCTACCCCGGAGGCTGAGGCAGGAGGATCGCTTGAACCTGGGAGGCGGAGGTTTCGGTGAGTGAGATGACGCCACCGCACTCCAGCCTGGGCAACAAGAGCGAAACTCTGTCTCAAAAAAAAATTGTTTTTTATTGTGGTGAAACAGTCATAACATGAAATTTGCCGTCTTTTTTTTTTTTTTTTTTTTTTGCTCTTGTTGCCCAGGCTGGAGTGCAATGGCGTGATCTCGGCTCACTGAAACCTCTACCTCCCGGGTCGAAGCGATTCTCCTGCCTCAGCCTCCCAAGTAGCTGGGATTACAGGCATGCACCACCACGCCAGGCTAATTTTTGTATTTTTAGTAGAGACAGGGTTTCACCATGTTGGCCGGGCTGGTCTCGAACTCCTGACCTCATGATCCGCTCGCCTCGGCCTCCCAAAGTGCTGGGATCACAGGCATGAGCCACCGCACCCGATCATAAAAAATGTTTTAAAAACACCCTCCATGTGTCCAGTTGTTCACCTGGCAGCTGGAAGTGGGAACGTCCACTGTCACCCTTTTACAGATGGGGAAACTGAGGCAGGGCACGAAGGTGTTTCAGGAGGGCAGACACCGTCTCTGCTCCTAAGAACTCTTGCTCCTCAGAGGGAACTGACCCCAGGGAGAGACGGGGCCCCAGTGGTCCCTGAGGACGCCAGGACCCAGCACCTCCCAAAGATCTAGGGAGAGGACCCATTGTCCTACTCCCAGGACACCTGATCCAGCGGCTGGAGGGGGTGGCCTGCGGGTTCCTGGAACTGAGCCCCCAACCCTCCCTCCCCAGTCGGCTCAAAGTCCAATCCGTTTTCCCAGCTGGCACTTGGCATTTTCTTCACAGCATGGAGGAGCCTTTCCTCCCTCCTCAGCGTCGCCTCCAAAAGGAGATGAGGTTTGCTGTGTGTGTGTGAAGAAAAACCACCGGAGTGTGGATCCGTTCGTCAGAGCTGAATGTCCCCAGCACGGCGGCTGCTCTGCTGCCCTTGGGGATCTGGGGCGACGCCGGGTACCCCGCAGGAGGACGGGGTGAGGACTGCCCCGGCAGGGAGGAGGGCCACTGCTACATGGATGTGGTCGGCCCCCATCTATCAGGCGCCTGAGGGATGCCAGGGCCCCAGAAAGCCCCCCAAACCAAGGCTTAGAGGACACAGGCAAGCTTGGGGACAGGTAGACAGCGGGGCGCTATGGAAGGTTCTGGAGCACTGGAGGAGGGGAATGTGAGCAAGTGTCCTTGTCTGGGCAGGTGCCTACTGTGTGCAAGCCTGGAGACAGAGCAGCAAGCCAGCCTCCCAGAGCCGAGTGGGAGAGACGGTCACTAAATAGGACGGGAATGGAACAGAGACACCGTAGCCTGTTACGGAAACGTGTGGGGGCTGGGGAGCGGTGCTTCCTGCATTTTCTGTGGCGAGCAGGGAACGTTTTTCAGGGCAGGGCACTTGGCCCTGGGCTTTGAGGGTTGAAGCGGAGCTCTACAGCCCAAGTTGCCTGCCCACTGCTGGGGGCAGATCAACTCTACAGGTTCCCATCTGACATGCCTGCCTCAGTTTCCCCAGGGTGCACTGGATGTTAGAGCCCACCCCTGGGCGGGCCTGGTTAGAGACTGACCGCTCCCTGGCCGGGCGCGGTGGCTCACGCCTGCAATCCAAGCACTTTGGAGGCCAAGGTGTCGGATCACCTGAGGTCGGGAGTTCAAGACCAGCTTGACCGACATGGTGAAACCCCGTCTTTTTTTTTTTAAAAAAAGGCCGGGCGCGGTGGCTCACGCCTGTAATCCCAGCACTTTGGGAGGCCGAGGCGGGTGGATCACGAGGTCGAGAGATCGAGACCATCCTGGTCAACATGGTGAAACCCGTCTCTACCAAAAATACAAAAATTAGCTGGGCATGGCGGTGCGTGGCTGTAATCCCAGCTACTCAGGAGGCTGAGGCAGGAGAATTGCCTGAACCCAGGAGGCGGAGGTTGCGGTGAGCCGAGATCGCGCCATTGCACTCCAGCCGGGGTGACAAGAGGGAAACTCCGTCTCCAAAAAAAAAAATAATAATAATAAAATAATAAAATAAATAATAATTAAAAAGAAAGAAAGAAAGAAACTGACCTCTCCCTGGAAGTGCGAGGCAAACATGACTCCTCCCGGGCCTCAACTTCCCCGCCTGAGCAGCGCTCGACGTTCCTGGAGGGGGTCAGGAATCCTGGGGAGGAACTCGGGGGACGTCAGGGCCCATTTTAAAGCGCGGGGTCCTTTCCCGGCACCCGCCCTCCATCTGTGGGTCTGTGGCCCGAATCGGAGCGGGGACGGGCAGGGGTTAGGCGTCCCCAGCCCCCGCCGGGTGTCTCGGCCGCCGTTTCCCCCGCGGCCAGTGCGCGTCCCGCTCCCCCCGCGCTCGGGAACCCCTGGGCGGGGCGCGGAGGGAGCGTCGGGACCGGGTCTCCCGCGGCGCCGGCAACTTCGCGATGGAGTTCGTGCGCGCGCTGTGGCTGGGCCTGGCGCTGGCGCTGGGGTCCGGGCCGGGGCCCGCTGGGGGCCACCCGCCGCCGTGCGGCGTCTCGACGCGCCTGGGAGGCTCCGTGCGCCTGGGCGCCCTCCTGCCCCGCGCGCCCCCCGCCCGCGCCCGCGCCCGCGCCGCCCTGGCGGGGGCCGCCCTGGCGCACAACCTGAGCCTGGAGCCGGTGGCCGCCGCGCCCCGCGCCCGCGACCCCGCCTCGCTGGCCCGAGGCCTGTGCCGGGCGCTGGCGGCTCCGGGCGTGTCCGCCCTGCTGGCCTTTCCCGAGGCGCGGCCCGAGCTGCTGCAGCTCCACTTCCTGGCGGCCGCCACCGAGACCCCCGTGCTCAGCGTGCTGCGGCGGGAGGCGCGCGCGGCCCTCGGGGCCCCGGTACGCGGGACGAGAGAGCCGGGACCGGGGGCACCCGGGGCGGGGGCGGGAGTGCCAGGGACGCCCGGAGGCGGGATGGGGGTGCCGGGACGCCTGGCGGCCCCGGGGCTCAGGGATGGGGGAGACCCGGGTGTGCCCCGAGCCGGGGAGCCGGAACGCAGAGGCAGAGAGCCAGGGACGGGGACCCAGACGCTGGCTTGAGAGCGCGAGGGACGCCCCTGGAACGCCCCTTCCCAGCGCCCCGGTGAGGGAGACCCCGCCGCTGCCCACTCCGTGCCCACAGACCCTTCCCGGGTCCCCGGGACCACCTGGTCCCCACCGGACTCCAGGCTCTCGGGGTGCAGTTTCGGTGTCTGCAGGTCCGGGTCCCCCTCCTTCCAGCATTCTCCCCGTCCCCTCCCAGAGCAGCCCCGGTCCCTCCAGCCCCCACTCCGTTCCCCCCACCCCACCGCAGCCTTCAAGTCCCTCTCCTCGAATCCCACCCCCAGGTCCGGATCCCACAGGGAAACGGAGTGAGAAGAGAAGGGAGGTGGAGGCCGGGCGTGGTGGCTCACGCCTGTAATCCAAGCACTTTGGAGGCCAAGGCGGGCGGACCACCTGAGGTCGGGAGTTCAAGACCAGCCTGACCAACATGGTGAAATCCCGTCTTAAAAAGAGAGAGAGAGAGAGAGAGAGAGAGAGAGAGAGAAAGAGAGAGAAAGAAGGAAGGGAGGTTGATTGGGTGCTAGGGACCCTCCGCCAGGGCCCACTGTGCCCCAGAGTATGGACCCCTTCCCATGGCCGGCAAGGAGGGCCCAGCCCCGGACGTGGGGGCCTGGCCGGGCTCTAGGGCCCAGCTCCCCTCCTTCCCCCCCCACGGAGCAGCCCCTCCGGCCCCTCCTCCTCGTCAGGGAGGGAGCCCCTGACTCTAGGTGTCAAGGGGACCCCCGTCCCCCCAGCACCCCAGCTAGGGCTGAGATTTGAGGCCAAACCCAGGCCTGGGGCGCCCTCTGCTGCCGCCTCCAGGAACTGCACCGCTGCCGGCCGCGCGTGGGATCTGGGGACTGAGCCACAGCCCGAGCGTGTCCCCTAGCACTGGGCACCCCGCTTCCGCTCTGAGGGGCCTGGCAAAGCTCTCCCACCTTTAATCCACTAAGTTAAATCCAGGGCCAGGCGCGGTGGCTCACGCCTGGAATCTCAGCACTTTGGGAGGCCGAGATGGGAGCACAGCTTGAGCTCGCGAGTTTGAGACCAGCCTGGGCAACACAGTGAGACCCCATCATCTCTACAAAAAATACAAAAATTAGCCAGGCGTGGTGGCAGGCCCCTGTAGTCCCAGCTACTCGGGAGGTTGAGGTAGGAGGATCGCTTGAGCCGGGGAGGCAGCGGTTGCAATGAGCTGTGATCTCACCACTGCACTCCAGCTTGGGCAATAACCCAGACATGGTCTCAAAAATATATATATCTGGAACTTTCTGGATGGCACTGGACACAAGGGGGCCTCTCAGCCCTCTGTGTGCCTGGCACCGGGCAGTAATGTGTGAGGGGATGCGACCTGGTTTGGCTCTAAGCACAAGGCTGTCGGTGGGCTCACCTTGAGGGAGTCATGGCTCTTGGCCCTAGAGGGGCTCCCAGGCAGGTGGGGGCCGGCTGAGGTTGGGACTATAAAGGGGTCAGGGAGGGACCCGAGGCTGCAGAAGCCTCAAACTGGAGCCTGGGTTCTGCCTGGAGGATGGAGAAGTCTGAATAGAGGAGGAGCAATGTGCTTGGGTTTTGAAGGGTGTATAGGAGTTGGTGAGCATAGAGGGAGAAAGGTATTCAATCTGGGGAATGGCATGCGCAAAAAAAAAAAAAAAAACACAGGGTGAGCCCATGACAAGGGTAGCTGCAGCCAAGAGAGAAAGAGAAGGGCCTGGAAGACAGGCTGAGGCTGAGCCTGGTGGGGATGGTGAGGGGGAGCCATGTAAGGGTTTAGAGCAGGGCTGGGGTTGGGGGAGGTGGAGGGGAGGTGCGGCCATCCAGCCGGCATCTCCTTACGGATCACGGGCTGCTGGGGTGGGAGTGGGAAGGGTGTCGTGGGGTGGCGGTCGCTGACCCTGACTGTGGCCTCCCCTCCCCCAGAACCCATTCCACCTGCAGCTGCACTGGGCCAGCCCCCCGGAGACGCTGCTGGACGTGCTGGTGGCAGTGCTGCGGGCGCAGGCCTGGGAGGACGTCGGCCTAGCCCTTTGCGGCACCCGGGACCCCGGCGGCCTGGTGGCCCTCTGGACGAGCCGGGCCGGCCGCGCCCCACAGCTGGTCCTGGACCTAAGCCAGCAGGACGCCGGAGATGCAGGGCTGCGGGCACGCCTGGCCCCGATGGGGGCACCCGTGGGGGGTGAAGCCCCGGTCCCCGTGGGGGTCCTCCTTGGCTGTGATGTTGCCCGTGCCCGTCGGGTGCTGGAGGCTGTACCTCCCGGCCCCCACTGGCTGCTGGGGACGCCACTGCCACCCAAGGCCCTGCCCACTGCGGGGCTGCCACCGGGACTGCTGGCGCTGGGCGAGGTGGCACGACCCCCGCTGGAGGCCGCCATCCATGACGCTGTGCAGCTGTTGGCCCGGGCGCTGGGCAGTGCCGCACAGGTGCAGCCGGAGCGTGCCCTCCTCCCCGCCGCGGTCAACTGTGGGGATCCGCAGCCGGCCGGGCGCTTCTTGGCACGGTGAGTGGGGACCCTGCTTCCCTTGGGTAGGTATCCAGGCCATGGAGTCTGCGCCACCCATGGGTCATGAAAGGCACGGTGAGGCTGGGCATGGTGGCTCACGCCTGTCATCCCAACACTTTGGGAGGCAGAGGCGGGTGGATCACCTGAGGTCGGGAGTTCGAGACCAGCCTGACCAACATGGCGAAACCCGGTCTCTACTAAAAATACAAAATCAGCCGGATGTGGTGGTGCACACCTGTAATCTCAAGTACTCAGGAGGCTGAGGCAGGAGAATCACTTGAACCCAGGAGGCGGAGGTTGCAGTGAGCCGAGATCGCGCCATTGCACTCCAACCTGGGCGACAAGAGTGAATGAAACTCTGTCTCAAAAAAAAAAAAAAAAAGAAAGAAAGGGCGCCCAGTGGGAATCGGGCGTGTGCTCAGCAGGGGTGAGGGGATGGAGGGGTCTGCGCTGGACACCTGATGCCCCTGCCCTGCCCCTAGGTTCCTGGCCAACACGTCCTTCCAGGGCCGCACGGGCCCCGTGTGGGTGACAGACAGCTCCCAGGTCCACGTGTCTCGGCACTTCAAGGTGTGGAGCCTGCGCCGGGACTCACAGGGTGCCCCCGCCTGGGCCACAGTGGGCAGCTGGCGGGACGGCCGGCTGGACTTGGAACCGGGGGGGGCCGTGGCGAGGCCCCCACCCCCGCCAGGCACCCAGGCCCGGCCCAAGCTTCGTGTGGTGACGCTGGTGGAGCACCCATTCGTGTTTGCCCGTGATCCCGACGAAGACGGGCAGTGCCCTGCGGGGCAGCTGTGCCTGGACCCCGGCACCAACGACTCGGCCACCCTGGACGCGCTGTTCGCCGCACTGGCCAACGGCTCGGTGCCCCGTGCCCCGCGCAAGTGCTGCTACGGGTACTGCATCGACCTGCTGGAGCAGCTGGCGGAGGACACGCCCTTCGACTTCCAGCTGTACATCGTGGGTGACGGCAAGTACGGGGCCCTGCGTGACGGCCGCTGGACGGGCCTGGTCGGGGACCTGCTGGCCGGCCGGGCTCACATGGCAGTCACCAGCTTCAGCATCAACTCTGCCCGCTCCCAGGTGGTGGACTTCACCAGCCCCTTCTTCTCCACCAGCCTGGGCATCATGGTGCGGGCGCGAGACACGGCCTCGCCCATCGGCGCCTTCATGTGGCCACTGCACTGGTCCATGTGGCTGGGCGTGTTCGCCGCCCTGCACCTGACCGCGCTCTTCCTCACTCTGTACGAGTGGCGAAGTCCCTACGGGCTCACGCCGCGCGGCCGGAACCGCAGCACGGTCTTCTCTTACTCCTCGGCCCTCAACCTCTGCTACGCCATCCTCTTCGGGCGCACCGTGTCCAGCAAGACGCCCAAGTGCCCCACGGGCCGCCTACTCATGAACCTCTGGGCCATCTTCTGCCTGCTGGTGCTGTCCAGCTACACGGCCAACCTGGCCGCCGTCATGGTCGGGGACAAGACCTTCCTGGAGCTGTCTGGGATCCATGACCCAAAGGTGGGTGGCCTCGGGGGGCTGGGGGCTGCCCCAGGCTGGGCTTCGAGGGGCATGGGTGGTCAGCTGGGCGTGGGGGACAGCCACTAGGCCAACTGTGGTCCCAAGAGACATACGTTTATTTATTTACTTACTTACTTATTATTTTAAGAAAATGGCCAGACACGGTGGCTCACTCTTGTCATCCCAGCACTCGGGGAGGTTGAGGCAGGTGACTCACCTGAGGTCAGGAGTCCGAGACCAGCCCGGCCAACGTGGCAAAACCCCATCTTTATTAAAAAATAAAAAAAATTAGCTGAGGGTGGTGGCGGGCGCCTGTAATCCCAGCAGTTTGGGAGGCCGAGGCGGGTGGATCACGAGGTCAAGAGATCGAGACCATCCTGGTCAACAAGGTGAAACCCCGTCTCTACTAAAAATACAAAACATTAGCTGGGCATGGTGGCGCGTGCCTGTAATCCCAGCTACTCGGGAGGCTGAGGCAGGAGAATTGCCTGAACCCAGGAGGCGGAGGTTGCAGTGAGCTGAGATCACGCCATTGCACTCCAGCCTGGGTAACAAGAGCAAAACTCCGTCTCAAAAAAAAAATACAGCCGGGCGCGGTGGCTCAAGCCTGTAATCCCAGCACTTTGGGAGGCCGAGGCGGGTGGATCACAAGGTCGAGAGATCGAGACCATCCTGGTCAACATGGTGAAACCCCGTCTCTACTAAAAATACAAAAAACTAGCTGGGCGTGGTGGCACGTGCCTGTAATCCCAGCTACTTAGGAGGCTGAGGCAGGAGAATTGCCTGAACCCAGGAGGCGGAGGTTGCGGTGAGCCGAGATCGCGCCATTGCACTCCAGCCTGGGTAACAAGAGTGAAACTCTGTCTCAAAATAAAATAAAATAAAATAAACAATCAATAAATAAAAATAAATAAAAAGCAAAAAAGCCAACAGTCACTATCTTCAGCTTTGTTGAGTAGTGTAACTGCTATACTCTGCCGTTGTAGAGAAAACGCAGCCGTAAATGAACCCAGGAGGCGGAGGTTGCGGTGAGCCGAGATCACGCCATTGCACTCCAGCCCGGGAAACAAGAGCGAAACTCCGTCTCAAAAAAAAAAAAATTAGCTGAGGGTAGTGGCGGGCGCCTGTAATCCCAGCTACTCAGGAGGCTGAGGCAGGAGAATCACTCAAACCCGAGAGGCGGAGGTTGCGGTGAGCTGAGATCGCGCCATTGTACTCCAGCCTGGGCAACGATCGCAAAAATCCATCTCAAAAAATAATAATAATAATAAGTAAAATTAAAAAGAAGAAAACAGGCCAGGCATGGTGGTTCATGCACTTTGGAAGGTCAAGGTAGGTGGATCACAAGGTCAAAGGTTCGAGACCAGCCTAGCCAACATGGAGAAACCCCATCTCTACTAAAAGTACAAAAATTAGCAGGGCATGGTGGCATGCACCTGTAATCCCAGGTACTCGGGAGGCTGAGGGAGAATTGCTTGAACCTGGGAGGCGGAGGATGCAGTGAGCTGAGATGGCACCCCTGCACTCTAGCCTGGGCAACAGAGCCAGACTCCGTCATGGGAGAAAAAACAAAGCAGAGATAGGGGCTGGCTATGCTGTCCAGGCTGATCTCAAACTCCAGGGCTCAAGCAATTCTCCCACTTCAGCAGCCCAAAGTGCTGGGATTACAGGCTTAAGCCACCATGCCTGGCCTATTTTTCTTTCCTTTTTTTTTTTTGGAGACACAGTCGCACTCTCCTGCCCAGGCTAAAGTGCAGTGGCGCGGTCTCAGCTCACTGCAACCTCCACCTCTCGGGTTCAAGTGATCCTCCTGCCTCAGCCTCCTAAGTAGCTGGAACTACAGGTGTGTGCCATCATGCCCAGCTAATTTTTGTATATTTTAGTAGAGACGGTGTTTCACCATCTTGGCCAGGCTGGTCTCGAACGCCTGACCTCATGATCCGCCAGCCTCAGCCTCTCAAAGTGTAGGGATTACAGGCGTGAGCCACCATGCCTGGCCTGTAGTTTTTTGTTTATTTGTGTGTGTGTGTGTGTGTGTGTGTGTGTGTGTGTGTGTTTTGGTGGTGGTTTTTTTTTTTGTAAAGATGGGGTTTCACCATGATGGTGAGGCTGGTCTTGAACTCCTGACCTCAGGTGATCCACCCACCTCGGCCTCCCAAAATGCTAGGATTACAGGCGTGAGCCACCACGCTCGGCTGTTTGTTTGTGTTTTTGAGATGGGGTCTCACTCTGTAGCCAGGCTGGCTAGAGTGCAGTGGCGTGATCTCAGCTCACTGCAACCCCTCCTGGGTTCAACTGATTCTCCTGCCTCCGTCTCCCACAGCGCTGGGATTAGGCGCGAGCTACTGCACCCAGCTGGCCTTTGCAATTCTTTGGCAAAATTAGGTTTTCTGCCCCGTAGTGTCTGTGAACTTTCACATCTACCTGGTGGCATCCCCTGGGGATACCTAGCCTGCTCCCCAGCCCCTGGTGTTCCCTGTTAAACAGTAATAAAATGTAGACGCCGTGCTGTCTGATGAGCTGACCACTCGGGGCGGCTTTTCCAATTTAAGCGCTGCACAGCTGAGCACAGACAGCATTTTCATCATCTGGAAAGTTTCATCAGGTGCTGCTGACCCAGAGGCGCGAGGGGATCGAGTCTGGGATTTGGGTGCTGCCGCAGTCCGGTGGGGAGGCCGTGGCCGGTGGGACGCCAGCAGCCAGACCCACGTATCCATTAGGGGTCCGCACCAGGGTGCCCTGGCAGCTGTGGGGAGGACCGCACAGAGGGGACGGGGCTGGTAGGGGGGATGACAGGGAAGGGGCTGGGATGGATGCTCAAACCGGGCCCGGGTGAGAGCTGGGAGCGGTGAGCACGGGGTGGTTCCCTGTGTGCTGAAGGTGGAGCGCCTGGGTTTTTGGAGACCAGGGCATGGGGTGTGAGAGGCAGTGAGGACGGCTGCCCCCAGCTGGGGTGGGAAAACCCAGGGTGGGGGCAGGTGTAGGAGGCAGATCTAAAGTAGTCATGGACATTGAGAGTGGGTCTCCCGTGGGACCCCAGGGGGACAGGCAGAGGAGGTGGTGGGATAGGAGCCGAGCCCAGGGCAAGGTCCGGGTGGAGATGGACTTGTCAGTGTTTAGAACGGAGCATCTCCACCCCGGGTGATCCTGCGCCCACCCTCCACCCCCGCCAGGGGACCCTGGACAGTGTTTGTCTGGGGACAGTTGTGGGTGTAATGACTAGGGTGTGCTCTTGGCATGGAGTGGGTGGAGGTAGCTCAGGGCCCTGCACTGTCAGGACGGCCCCACCCCAGAGAACGGCGCGCCCCTCAATGGTCGGGGTCCCGAGGGGCAGGCGGAGGCGCTGACCGGGTCCCCTCGCCCCCGCGCAGCTGCACCATCCGGCGCAGGACTTCCGCTTCGGCACCGTCTGGGAGAGCAGCGCCGAGGCGTACATCAAGAAGAGCTTCCCCGAGATGCACGCGCACATGCGGCGCCACAGTGCGCCCACAACGCCCCACGGCGTCGCCATGCTCACGTGAGTGGGGGCGGGGCGGGGGCGGGACGACAGCTGACCCCGCCCACGGCGTAGCCATGCTCACGTGAGTAGGGGCGGGGCGTGGGCGGGGCATGGGCGGGACGACAGCTGACCCTGCCCCAAGGGGGGTCGCCATGCTCACGTGAGGGCGGGGCGGGGCGGGGCATGGGTGGGACGACAGCTGACCCCCACGGCGTCGCCATGCTCACGTGAGTGGGGGCGGGGGCCGGACGACAGCTGACCCCGCCCAACGGTGGCGCCATGCTCACGTGAGTGGGGGCGGGGCGGAGGCGGGACGACAGCTGACCCTGCCCCAAGGGGTCGCCATGCTCACGTGAGTGCGGGGCGGGGGCGGGGCATGGGCGGAACGACAGGTGACCCTGCCCCACGGCGTTGCCATGCTCACGTGAGGGGGCGGGGGCGGGGCGGGGGCGGGGCGGGGGCGGGACGACAGCTGACCCCGCCCTACGGTGTCGCCATGCTCACGTAAGGGGGCGGGGGCGGGGCATGGGCGGGACGACAGCTGACACCGCCCCACGGCGTCGCCATGCTCACGTGAGTGGGGGCGTGGCATGGGCGGGACGACAACTGACCCTTCCCCAAGGTGGTCGCCATGCTCTCGTGAGTGCGGGGCGGGGCGGGGCATGGGCGGGGCGGGGTGGAGCATGGGTGGGACGACAGCTGACCCCGCCCACGGCGTCGCCATGCTCACGTGGGGGCGGGGCGAGGCATGGGCGGAACGACAGCTGGCCACACCCTACGGCGTCGCCATGCTCACGTAAGTCCGGTGTGGGGGCGGGGCATGGGCGGGACGACAGCTTACCCCGCCCCCTGGCATCGCCATGCTCACGGCGGGGGCGGGACATGGGGGCGGGGCATGGGCGGAATGACAGCTGACCCTGTCCCCTGGCGTCCCCATGCTCATGTGAGCACCGGGCAGGGTGAGGCAAGGGCGGGGAATGGGGGCGGGGAATGGGCGGGATGACAGCTGACCCCGCCCCAGCGCCCCCACCCGCGTTGCCCTGCTCACGTGAACGTGGGGCGGAGTGGGGGCGGGATAACAGGTGACCCCTCCCCCCGGCGTCGCCATGCTCACGTGAGCGCGGGGTGTGGCAAGGGCGGGATGACAGCTGACCGTGCCCCAGCTACCCCCCACCCGCGTTGCCCTGTTCACGTGAGGTGACCGTGGGGCGGGGTGGGGGCGGGGTGGGGGCGGGACAAAAGTTGACCGGGTCCCGGATCCCCGCAGGAGCGACCCCCCCAAACTCAACGCCTTCATCATGGACAAGTCGCTCCTGGACTACGAGGTCTCCATCGATGCAGACTGCAAGCTGCTGACTGTGGGCAAGCCCTTCGCCATCGAGGGTGAGGGGCACCCGGGCAGGGCGGGGTGAGGCGCCGGGGTCTCTGGGTAGTGCGGAGCCACGGAGGGTTCCAGGTGGGGAGTGGCGGAGTCCCGCGTGTGCAGGCAGAGTTCCTCTGAGGCTGCCCGCCCCGGCCCCACCTCCCCGGCCCTGCGCCCCTAGGCTATGGCATCGGGCTGCCCCAGAACTCGCCGCTCACCTCCAACCTGTCCGAGTTCATCAGCCGTTACAAGTCCTCCGGCTTCATTGACCTGCTCCATGACAAGTGGTACAAGATGGTGCCTTGCGGGAAGCGGGTGTTTGCGGTGACAGAGGTGGGGCTGGGCCCGGGGCAGGGGGTAGGGGTGGGGGGCGCACTTCTATTCACCCTACAAAACCCCAGCTCCAGTACCCTCTCCTCCATGAAACCTCACCTCCAGCCGTGGAGTCCCTGCCTCCCAACCTGACTCCACAGCCCCAGGCCCCTCTCTCTGGCCCAACCTGTTCTCCCTCAGTTCAAATGTCTCCAGGGGTAACGGCGAGGGGTTCCTGCTGTGTTGCCCCCAGACCCTGCAGATGAGCATCTACCACTTCTCGGGCCTCTTCGTGCTGCTGTGCCTGGGCCTGGGCAGCGCCCTGCTCAGCTCCCTGGGCGAGCACGCCTTCTACCACCTGGCGCTGCCTCGCATCCGCAGGGGGAGACGGCTGCAGTACTGGCTACACACCAGCCAGGTGCGCACCGGGCGGGCGGTGGGCGGCCCCGCCAGCCACGGCTCCTCGCCAACCGGGTCTGTCTGGGGTCTTAGAAAATCCACCGCGCCCTCAACACGGAGCCGCCAGAGGGGTCGAAGGAGGAGACGGCGGAGGCGGAGCCCAGGTAAGTGGTACCGCGACCCAGGACGGCCCAGGCGCACCCCGGCAGGTCGCCCTGGAGCCGGCCGCGGGGTGCAGGAGGGGGTTCGCGGAGGCCCCGCCCACCCTCGGACAGCTCTGTGCGCACGGCAGCTGCCTGGTTGTGCCTTTCGGGCACCCTCTCCCCGCAGTGGGCTCTACAGAGATCCAGGGCGCGAGACGGCTGCCCCCGTGGGCAGTGACCAGGCCGGTTCGGTCCCCAGCGGCCCCGAGGCGGAGCAGCAGCAGCAACAGGACCCGCCCGCTGCTCCGGAGGGCTGGAAACAGGCGCGCCGGGCCATGGACAAGGGGCGCCGCGTGCGCTTCCTGCTGGAGCCTGCCGTGGTTACGGCGCCCGACCCGGACGCGGAGGCGGAGGCTGCGCCGCCGGAGTGCCCCGGCTGGCTGTGCTCCAACGGCCGCCCGTCAGCCGCCAAGCCCACGGGGCCCCCCCGGCCCGGGGAGCTGCAGGAGCTGGAGCGCCGCATTGAGAGCGCGCGGGAGCGGCTCCGCCAGGCCCTGGTGCGGCGCGGCGAGCTGCTGGCACAGCTCGGGGACAGCGCGTGCCACCGGCCTCTGCGCCTGCTTCGGGCAAGGGCGGCCCCTGCGGAGGCGCCACCGCACCTGGACTGATGGCGTTGCCGGGAATGAGGTGGCCGCGGGGAGTCTTGGGGATCAAGACACACGGTGCACTGGGCCGCTGTCAACAGTTTATTCTATATACAAACACAATTTTGTACACTGCAATTAAATAGAATGGAATGAGCTCTCCTCCGCATTCCTCCACGAGTTGCCGAGTTTGGCCGCCGGCCCATCCCACCCCGGAGCAGAGCTGGGCCACGGCCCTGGCTGCTGCCACTGGTGTTGGCGCCTGCACCCCACGTCCCTACGCCCGAGACACAAGCGCTGCTCTCCCGGGGCCCCCAGGCCTGGTGCACACGCGGGGAGGGCCAGGCCATGGAGAAGGCACTGCACGGAGCACCAGGCAGAGCCGGGCTGAGGCCGGCAGGGACAGCGCCAGGGTCCCAGGACCCGCCCCGGCCGCCCCTCCACACCTCCGCATGCTCAGAGGCCTGCACCATGGGAACCCCACTTCACCTCAGGACGTTCACTGCAGACCTTCCACCAAGCGCCCTCCAGAACCTTCCACGGAACCCCACCCCTCTCCTTGCTGGCCAGCTCAAACACCTCACTAGCGGGTACAAGCCTGGGGCGCAACCTCACACCAGGGGGAGGGAAGCCTGCCTTCTGGGCAAACCGCATGAAACCCTGAAAGCCACCAAGGCAGGCTGGGCAGTACCAGAGGAAAGAGGTGGCCGGGCGCCTCCACCCGGAACGGCCTCCCCTACCCCCACAGGCTCCAGCAGGTCACGCCCAGCCAGCCGGGACAGCCGGGGTCAGAGGCAGCTCAGCTGTGCGGCTCAGGATCCAGCCTCCGAGGGCGCCTGCACTGGGGCCGTGGAGGCCGGGCTAGACCCGCTCACTGCAGCTGCCAGGGGCGTTGTATCGGGAGCTGCGGAGTCACTCGAGGGGATACTGTCCTGTGGGGTGCGGGGGATGCCCCCAGGAGGGCCCAGCGGGCTGGCTGGACGCCGCTCCAGGAGGGAGGCGCTCAGGCCGGACAGGAAGGAGGCGTCTGTGATGATAGCAGCGGTCTCTGCCATCCAGCCCAGGTCACCACCGGCAGCTGCCGCCACGGAGGCTGCTGCAGCCACCAGGGAGCTGGGCGCCGCAGCCACAGGCCCTGGACTCCCGCTGGCCCCCGGCGAGATGGGGCCCAGGGCAGGGGGCTGGCTGGTAGAGTCAGGGGCGGCGGCTGGGGCGCCCGAATTGTTGTTCATGTCGTCGGGCAGCGCGGTGGGGGTCCCGGGGCCCAGGGGCGGCGCCTGCAACAGCATCTCCTGGATGCGGACCTGCTGCAGGATGGCGGGCAGCTCGTAGTGGTGGAAGAAGTAGATCATGGAATGCTGAGGGAGGAGAGGCAGGCGGGAGTCAGGACGAGCAGGGTCCACAGGGCTTCCTCCCCTCCTGCCCGAAAGGCGCGGCTGGCCCGTCCCCGCTTGCTGCCTGGGCCTCACCTGAATGAAGAGCCAGGAGGTGACCAGAGCCAGGCTGCTGTACTGCCCGTTGAAGCGGTAGTGGTAGGCGTAGAAGGCGAAGTGGTAGAGATAGAAAAACCTGCGGGGTAGGGGTGCGAGGGCGTCGGGGCGGCCCCGTCCCACTGCAGGCCCCGCCCTTCCCGGCGCCCCTCCCCTGGCAGCCCCGCCCGCACCCCCTCCGCCCCGCCCCCGGCAGCCCCGCCCGCACCCTCTCCGCCCCTCCCCGGCAGCCCCGCCCACACCCCTCTGCCCCGCCCCCGGCAGCCCCGCCCGCACCCTCTCCGCCCGGCCCGCGTGGCGCTCACCGCAGCCAGTGCCGCTTGCTGGTGCTGGTGTGGCAGCAGATGGCATCGTACTGGTCAGCGAGCCACACGATGAGGATGATGTAGAAGGCGGTGGTGGTGTCGTTGAAGAACTCCGACATGATGGCCTCCATCCCTGCGGGGAGAGGCGGCGGCGGTTGGAGCGGGCGGGGCGGGGTGCAGCGCGGGGCGGGGGAGGCCTGGGTCGGGTCCTCACCGACGAGGGCCAGGATGACGGTCAGCAGGGGCGCTGCGGGGAAGGCGATGGCCATGTTCATCTCCAGCATCTGCAGCAGGTCCACTGCGGGCACAGGGCGGCGGGCACCCGGTGAGGGCCTGGAGGATGCCCGCCCCGCCCCTCGCCGGCGGGACACTCACCGATGAAGACGAAGATCTGGTGGTGCGAGTAGCGCAGCAGCATGGACACGCTCAGCGTCTGCAAGGGGCGCGCGTGAGGGGCTGCTCGGCTCCCGCCCCCCGGCGCCCACGCCCACCCCGAGGCACTCACGAAGATGACCATGATGACGAAGGCAGCCAGATAGGACGTGCGCGCCATCCACATGCTCACGAAGCGGTAATGCTCGCCTGACACCACGTTCCGCAGGAAGCCTGCAGCGCAGGGGGCCGTGAGCGCCCGTGCCAATCGGTGCCCTCTCCCCCTCCCGCCCTGGGGCGGGCCCCACCCTTGTTCTCCTCGTTTTCCGCCAGGCCCTTCACGCTGGACATGAGAATGTCATCGTAGCCCAGGAACTCATCCAGCAGCAGGCGGCTGAAGCGGTCTCCGAAGCACTGGTCCCGCGTGGGGTCTGCGGGCGGGCGGATCAGGGAGCCGGGAGCCCCGCCCAGGCTGCCCCCTGAGCCCTGCTCCCGGCTGGCCCCAAACCTGCCCCTTCTCAGAAAACTCATCCTGGACCCCAGCCCTGGGAAGCAGGCCCGGGCAGGGCAGACTCCAGGCCTTCCTGCACAGCCCCGAGCCCCACACCTGTAGGGAAAGACCCCAGGGAGGAGGGAGGCCCAGCCACTGAGCTCCCCCAGCCCAGCGGCTCAGACTCACCCAGGGTGACCACCATGACCGGGATACTCAGGCGCTGGCGCGTGGCCTGGGACAGGCGGAGGAAGCCATACTCCAGTGAGTACTCCACGATGTACTCCTCCTGCAGCCATACTGCCGGGCAGAACCGGGGCCAGGTCAGCCCCCAGGCACCCCCAACACTGCCACCAGCCGAGGCAGGCGTCGAGGGGCAGGGGAAAAGACCTGCTAAGCCCCGGGCCCCTGGTGGGTGCTGAAAGGACCCCTACAGACACGAAGTCCACCCAAGCTGGTGCCCCGCCCTGTGCGCTGGAGCGGCTGGCCAGGCTGCTCCTCCCGTGGCCCCATCTCCTGGGCTGCCCCTCTGCCCTGGCGGTGCGTCAGGAAATGCCCCCAGCACAACTACAACACTTCAGAGGCCCCAGCCCTCTGGAAAAACTGCCTGCTCTCAGATCGGGCAGGGGCTGGCTTCCCTGAGCACAATCAGCCAGAATTCCGAGTCCAGAGCTGAGGGGGCTCATCCCCTCCAAGTCACCGTTCACAAGAGAGTCCCAGAGAAGGTGAGCTGAGCCAGGTGCCCCAGGCCCTGGGGTGTCCCCACAGCCTTGTATGCTGACAAGTGGGGAAATCGAGGCACACAGGTACCCTGAAAGGTCCATGGCAAGTGGCCAGCAGGCTGGGGTGTTCTGGGGAGCTCACCTGCACCCCAGCACCCCATGGCTGGGACGTTCAGAGGGACCCCGCCTGCACCCCAGCACCCACAGCTGAGATGTTCAAAGGGACACCGCCTGCACCCCAGTACCCCACAGCTGGGATGTTCAGAGGGACCCTGTCTGCACCCCAGCACCCCATGGCTGGGACCTTGGGAGGGACCCTGCTTGCATCCCAGGACCCCATGAGGCAGTACACTTTCGGTGGGCGGCCTACCTTTGGTGGGCGTCTCAGGGAAGGGGAACTCCTGGCTGTCATTCAGGGCCTCTATGCTACTCGGTGGCTTGAACACCTTGGGTTCGATGTCCAGCTCAAACTGTGGGCGACCAGGGACCAGGGCGTCAGCAGCGCCAGCCTGGGATGTGGGGGCCGGCCTGAGGATGTGGTCCCACTGATGGGAACGGGCTTCGGAGCCTCAGCCTCTGCTCCATCGTGGAGCAGGCCAGGGTGGACTGCGTGTGCCTCCTGCCTCAGCCAGGACCCCACCTCAACACCAAGCCTGCCCTGCTGTGGGGCCGTCTACGGCACGGCGCTGAGTCCTAAAGCTGTGACAGGGGCCAGCCGCGGCCAGTGGACACCAGGGAGGGGTCCATGATGCGCTGACCAAACACTCTTTCTTGGGGTTGGCTTTGCGGGAACAGGTAGGACCCTAAACCACGACTGCTGAGGCAGAAAGATTTCCAACCAGACTGTGGGCCCAACACAGCCACCTGGTCCCACCCGTGCTCAAGGCCACCGCAAGCTGACCAGGCACCCACCACCTCTGCAGGGAGCAGGACCGGCCGGAACAGGGCCCAGAGCTCTCACCTCCCAGCCCCCAGCACCCCCAGCCCCAGACAATCCCCTCCCCAGAACAGCTGGAATCTCGAAGGCCTGAGTCTGCCCAGCCCAAGTCTTCCCCCAGACCCCCTGCCCTGCCAGGCCTCCAGCAGGGAGACAGGCCGAGGGGCTTGTTTCAGAGCCCCCCAGGCCACCAAAAGGCCAGGACAGGTGGGGGTGGGCTTGTCTGTGTGCCAGGTCCCTGTCGGGCACCGCCCCTTCAGCCACGGGCATCTGTGGGACCGCGCCCAGGCTCGGCTCACCTTGATGGAGCTGTTCCCAAACGCCTCCATGCTCAGCTCCTCCTCCTCCTCCTCCTCCCCCAGCTCCAGGCGCAGGAAGTCCCCGCGGCCACCGTCGCAGAACTGCAGGAGGACCGGCGCGCGACTCGAGTTGCGCCGCACCTCCACGCGCAGGACACCCTCGCGGGGCCACCGGTCACGCACGTGCTCCAGGCAGTTGATGGGCGCGCGGGAGAAGACCATGTGGATGTAGGCCAGGACGAAGAGCACAAACAGGGCCTGGGGGCGGCCGGCAGTCAGTGGGGCACCCGGGGCTGCCCGGGGCAGGGGAAAGAAAGGAAGCTCCGGACCCCGGGGATGCCCCACTCCAACCCTGGCTCCGACAGGCCCTGGGACTCAGGCGAGGCCTGTGACCGCCCCAACCTCCTGAGGGGTGCGCCAGACAAGGCCAGCAGGCCAGGGCCCTCTAAGACGGGCACGGGACTGGCCCAACTTGGGAAGACCCGAGGCTGGGCTCCGACGCACCAAGTACAGCACACCAGGGCCAGCTACCAGCCAACAGTGCCCACCCTGCAAGGAGCGGCGGGTACTGCTGCCACGCCAGGGCCACCTGTGGGCCCCACTGTCCACAAAAGGCTGCCCAGCCCACCACAGCCCATCCTGCTGCTTCCTGCCTCATCTTCCGTGGTGTCCCCAGCGCTCCCTTGATCTCACCAGCTAAAAATAGCTTCTCACCCAGCGGGGCGCCCTGTGCACCCCTCCCAGCCCTGGAGGGGCCAGCTGCTGGGATACAGCGGACCTCCGTGGCTGGACAGGGCGCCCCACAGCAGGGCCAAGCTGCTGTGCCCAAGGTACAGCCTATGAACTGGGGTGGCTGCAGCTCTCACCTGGGGGCCTCTGCCCAGGGAATATGGACATCTGTGGTTATCACAATTGGGGAGCTCCTGGGATGGAGTGGACGACCCCAGGGGTGCTGCTCAGCACCCAGCAGTGCCAAAGACGGCCCCACCCCAAGGGCCACAGGGCCTGGAGAGCCCGCGCCCCAGCATGCTGCAGGCACAACAGAGTGGGACCGCTCAGGGCAGCCCTCTTCCAGGGAGCCTACCTCACTGTCGGGGGTTTGGCTGCCCACTGCACCTCCCGACCTGAGGTCCGGGCATCACTCCCAAGACTGGTGAGAGTCACCTCTACCTGCTGCCCTGATCCGCAGAGCTGAGGGCCCAGCTGGCCAAGGGGGCCTCCATAGCCACATGGAACCCCAGACTCAGGGAAGAACTAAGCATAGTCAAAACCACAAGCCAGAAAGGCATGGAGCACAGGGCCCCTCCCTGACCTGCTGGCGGGCCCAGCAAAGCCCGGGATGCCACAAGCCACCTGTGGCCACAGAGCCATGAGCGAGACCACCAGGAGCCTCAACCCTTCCACGCCCATGGAGAGCCCGGCCTCCTCTGCAGACTGAGCAAAGGGCCGAGTCAACAAAACCACCCACTTCTGGCCTGTGCTGTGGTCTGAGCACAAATGAAGCCCTGGATCCACCCACACCTGCAGTTGGGATAAGCCTCATCACACTCCTCAACCCAGAGAGTTGAAAATCCCTTGCCTAGCCCTTCCCCCACCTGGCATCTGGGTACAGACGCCATGGAGGCTGGGCCTGGGGTGGGTCACGGTCAGAGGCACTGATCCCATAGTCCCTCAGCTGAGCACTCTCAGGAGAGAGGGGCCCCACCAGGCCCATGGTGGATGCGCTGGTGGCTGTGCTCCACTTTCCAGTCTCAGACGTCCAGCAGGAGCTGTGCCCAGGACAGCAATGGATCCTGTGCCAAGATGTTCCAAAAAGTGCTGACACACAGCGGGCCGAGGTTGGGGTTGCCCAACACTTCCCAAGGGATGCACGGCTGTTACCACCCTTGGTTTACAAACAAGGAACTGATGCAGAGGTCCCCAAAGACCTGGACCTGCTAAGGGCACAAGGCTGGGAGGCAGGAGCTGGGGCAGTGCCGGGCTGCACACTCAAGGCCTCTGACCACGAGCAGTGACCAGTGACCCCACGAGGAAGAGCAGCTCCTGGGGTCGCCCTGGGCAGGCTCAGCGGGGGAGGGCATGAGACGCACATCCCGCCACACCCAGCACTCGTGTGAGTGACCTGTCCTACGAAGACAGTGGACGCGACGAGAGGGCACCAGTGTCTTCACATGATGTGCACGCACTCCAGGCAAAGGCTCCACGTTCCCCAGATACTGTGACTCAGACGTCACTATGTCTGCCCCATCAGGTAATCCGTGCTGACTGCACTCGGGAACCCCAGCCCAGGGTCTGCCAGGGTCCCTCTTCCCTGACTGAGCATCACCAGTAAGGAATCTGCCCCACTGAACAAGGCCCTATCCCCATAAAGCCTCAGTTCCCCTGAAATCTCCCACCAGAAAACAAGGAGGCAGCATCCGGCCAGTCACGACCTCATCCCAAGTCCTGGGTCCTCCTGCCTAAGGCCTGTCATCAGCCACCTCACCCGGCGTGGCCTCACATGTGCAGGCAGCCACATCTACACCGGAAGCAGCCCTGCCTGGGGATCTCAACTGGAAATGCTCCCATGGGCCCCTGGCCATGCTCCGCCCTGCAGCCTGGCTCAGCCACTCACACGCCTGGGTGGTCCAGACCCCTACACTCCACGACTCGATACCTGAGCCCGAGCTCCCCAGCCGGTGCCCGCTGTGCTCCCGCCCCAGGGTATTCCCAAACGTCCGCCAGCTGCCTGGACACTGAGCCCCTCCACACTGGCTGTGGCTCACCTCCAGAACGCCCCGCCCCTACGAGTCAGCCCACACACCACTACACCCACAGGAGCGCCTCCCCGAGCCTGGGGCTGCACTCAACACATCCTCTAGGAAGCTTTCCTGATATCCTGGCCAGGGCTCCCAGGGCACCCCGACACTCAGCCACCAGGTGGGCCTTTTCCTCTGTCTCCCCACAGACCTGGAGGGCCGGGAACAGCCTCCCCCGCCTCTGGATATTTGATGGACCAACAAACTGACTGACCCGCAAGAAGAGCCACACTGTTCTCTCCAGGGAGAGCAGGGAGCCCTGCAGCAAGCCCTGCGCTGCCCTACCTGGGGCTCCCCTTTGTCCACCTGGGGTGCTTCCCACCCCCCAGGTCACAGGCGCCTCAATGTGACAGGACCCCATTCAGAGCAGGGCCCGTGGGGTCTCACATTCCCTGTCTTTTTTTTTTTTTTTTTTTTTTGAGACAGAGTGTTGCTTTGTCGCCCAGACAGGAGTGCAGTGGCCTTATCTCGGCTCACCACAATCTCCGCCTCAAGTGATCCACCTGCCTGGGCCTCCCAAAGTGCTGGGATTACAAGTGTGAGCCACCGTGCCTGGCTCACATACCCTGTGTTTAATCCTCATAATGACGCCCCACCCCAGAGGAGCCCCATTCCGCCCCATAGCTGGGGGCAGGCCCTTGCTCATGCCCAGAGGCACTGAGCCGAGGCCCCTTCACCCTGCAGGCATCTGCTCAGTGGTCACCCAAGTCCAGGGCCTAGTGCCCCAGGACGGATGGGCTCTGCCACGCTGGCTGCGGGGCCATGAAGGATGAGAAGGATGCCAGCAGAGGTGGACGCTGAGGCCGGACAGAGGTCTCCCGAGGTCCCCTGGAACACAGGTCCCTGCTGCCTCCTCTCCCCAGCACCACCCAGGCGAGAGTGAGGGGTCAGGGTGCTCCGTGCTGGCTGAGGACTGGCAACTCAGCTGAACAGGTGCCACAAGATGAAGCTGCCTTGAAGGGAGCGCACCAGGGAGGACCTGGCTCTCTTTAGAGAGACTCCTGGAAGCCGGGCAGACAGGAAGCTGATGAGCCTTCTGGAACTCAAGGCAGCCTCTGAAATCAGCCAGTCCCAGCCTGCACTTTGCAGATAAGTAGAAGTGAAGGCAGCAGGGTCAGATTCTGTGCCACCAGGTTACCAATGAAGGATTCACAACCAACAGATTTCCCACCTGGACCGGGCAAGGTGGCTCACACCTACAATCCCGGTACTTTGGGAGGCCAAGGCAGGCAAATTGCCTGAAGTCAGGAGTTTGAGACCAGCCTGACCAACATGGCAAAGCCCCGTCTCTACTAAAAATATAAAAAAATTACCCAGATGTGGTGGCGGGCACCTGTAATCCCAGCTACTTGGGAGGAGGCTGAGGCAGGAAAATTGATTGAACCTGGGAGATGGAGGTTGCAGTGAGCAGAGGTGGAGCCACTGCTCTCCAGCCCAGGCGATAGAGCAAGTCTCAAAAAAAAAAAAAGAAAAAAAAAAGAAAAAGATTTCCCTACCCAGAGATCTGGCAGCCCAGAGTCCCCTGCTGAGAGCGGAAGGAGGGTGGTATGAGAACCTCCGCAGAGTCCCCAGCATACACAGGAGAGGGGGACCTCCAGTTCTGGCCCAGTCCCATCTGCCCACCTGTGAGTCGCACCTGCCTGGAGATGCAGCTAGGTTGGCCTGATCCAAACCGGGACGTGGTGGGACCAGAGCCCAGGCCACAGGGATGCACCTCCCAGGGAGGCTGAGCTCCCTCTGGCGAACTTGGGCAAGCACACAGCACACGCCTGTCACAAGCCTAAGGACCCAGTGGCTCCGTCCTGGACCAGGGCCACTCCGTGGAAGTGTGGTGAAGAAAACCTACGTCCACAGACTAGCCTCCAACTGCAGTTTCAGGCCCCATCTGTGGACCCCAGAGCCAGGAAAGGCTGCCTGCCTGAGTATCACAGCCCTGCTCAGGTGCCCACTGAAGTGACCACCGCACCCTGGGGGGCTGCAAGGCGCAAGGTGAGAAGGATAACCGGCTGAGCTCTGGCCTGTGGGGGGCCACTGATCTCAAGGCTGGGGGACTCCCTCGAGACTGCGGCAGGCTGGGATCCACACCCAGGTCGGTGTGGTGGCTAAGCTCCACTCCACCTGCTGAGCCCAAAAGAGCAGCGGGCTCCTGACCAACCTGTCAGGCTTGAAACTTGCTCACGCTTGCAGCCTGGCCCGCCAGCGTCAGCCCCGGAAAAGCTGCACTTGAGCACCCCCACGCCGGGCGGGGCCTGCACACTGAGACCTCTGTGCCATCTGAGGAGGGCGGGAGGGGACAGAGCCCAAGACTCAGAGGCCAGTGCTTCATACGAGAGGCAGGGGCGAAAGAGCCACAGCTCAGCTGTGGGAGACGGAAGTGGGTGGGGACCCAGGGAAGGAGGAGGCCGGGGATGGGGTGGAACGCTGCTGCTGGTGACTTTGCCACTAACCCTAGCGAGGTGACCTAAAATAAGTCACATTCTCCCCAGGCTCAGGAGCAGGGAACGGGGTGAGAGCCGGTAGAAGGCTGCAAGGACGGGGAGATCCCTGCCAGAATAGGAGGGGAGAGGGGAGTGGCCTTCCAGGCCGAGGGGTTGTCAGGCTAGGTTCTGGGCCAGCACAGGGGGCGGGGAGGGAGGCCTCGGGGCCGAAGGTCTCAGGCGACAGAGTCATGGGTCAAAGGTCAGGAGGGGCTCCAAGCCTGCGTAGGTGGGGACCCGGGAAAGGTGGCGGCCGGAGACGGGATGGGCCCTGGTGGGGGCTGACAGTGAGGTTCCCGGCTTCCAATGCAGTGAGACTGGGTCTTCCCGGGTGGACGTCCCGGGGCGGGGCGGGACGGGGTCGCGAGGCGGTGACCCTGGCCAATCCTGGGGTCAGAGATCGCGAGGGAGGTCCCTAATCGGTAGCGCAGGGTCGAGGCCTTCGGGTGCAGGGTGGCGCTCGGTGTCCCCAGTGGGGCCAGGGATCGCGATCGGAGGGCGCAGACTTGGGGGTAGGGCCGGCCGCCGGGGTCAAGGGTCGGGGGTCGGGGGTCGGGGCCGCGGTCACCTTGAGCAACACGAAGAACTCGAAGAGACGGCGGAAGGCGGGTGGGAAGAGCCGCGAGTAGGTGACAGCCATCTTGAAGAAGAGCGCGTGGAAGAGCCGGTCGCGCACGTTGATGAGGGGGTTGGGGTTGAGGTTAGGGGTGCGAGGCCCGCGCGCGGGGGCCGGGCCGCCGCCACCACCGTTGGGCCCGGGCCCCGGAGCTCCCGGTGCCGCGTGTTCCGACATGCCGCCCAGCGTCGCGCCCTAACGGCCGGCGGGTGTCCGAGGGCGCCTCCCGGCCGCCATCGGCAGCCCTCGCAGCCGCCGCCGCGCTCTTCACAGCCGCCCGGCCGCGGACGCCATCTTCCGCCTCCTCGTCCGGCTGCGGCCCCGATGACGCCAGCGAGTCGCCACGCCGGGCAAGAGGGGCCCCCCTGCGCCTATGGGGGAATGCTGGGATACCAGCGACAGCCCGGGGAGGCCTCACCCTGCGCTCGGCAGCGCCAGGGGGCAGGGCTACATCGGGCCCGCCTGTTCTTTTACATATTGACACCCACAATCCACTGCGACTATGAGGCCACTATAGGCAGTAAAATTATGACAACGTATGGACTTTAGGTGATGAAAGAAACGCAAAGTAAATGTAAACACAGGAGTTGTTCTGCAATGTTCCACTGTAGGAAACTATGCTAAGTATAAAAACTATCCATGAGTTCACCTAACTGAAAAGTGATACAATTGGAGGGCTTTAAATACTCCCGTCTGGGACCTAGAAATCGTGCTCGCTTCGGCAGCACATATACTAAAATTGGAACGATACAGAGAAGATTAGCATGGCCCCTGCGCAAGGATGACACGCAAATTCGTGAAGCGTTCCATATTTTTTGTTGCAGTCCGCCGCCCGTCATCTCGCCTGGCTTCCGTTCCGCGATCCTGCAATGACGTCACCGGGCCCTTCCTTCCGCAATCCTGCAATGACGTCAGTGGTCCGGTGACGTCACCGCCCTCCCTTGTACGTTTCCCGTTGCACCACTGAGGCTGGCGATCGGCGAACACTCTGGCCGTCCCCACCTGGTTGTGGCGCCCTGCCACCTGCCCCGTGGCCCTTGCGCTACAGTAAGTGAGTAAATGTCCTTTAGGAGCACATATCGAGCGCCTGCTGCATACACAAGAGAACGTTATGGTTTTGAAGCCACCTTTGTGAAATCATGACTGAGACAGTGGAAGGGATCTAGCTTAATCCACTCCGTCTTCCTTATAACCTCCAAGATGTCCCTGTTCATTCCTGGGCGTAGGCTGAACCCACTGGGAGAAACTCGGTTTATGGTTGATAATTTAAGACAAAGATGGGCGGGGCGCAGTGGCTCAAGCCTGTAATCTCAGCACTTTGGGAGGCTGAGGCAGGCAGATTGCTTGAGCCCAAGAGTTCAGACCACAGGCAACATGGCTGTACAAAAAAACCCTGTCTCTACAAAAACAAAAAAAAACAAAAACAAAAATCAGGGCTGAGCCCAGTGGCTCACGCCTGTAATCCTAATACTTTTGGAGGCCGAGGCGGGAAAAATCACAAGAAGGAGGTCTGCATTGGGAAAGGGCTGTTAACATCTTTTTTTTGTTTGTTTTTTGAGACGGAGTTTCGCTCTTGTTACCCAGGCTGGAGTGCAATGGCGCGATCTCGGCTCACCGCAACCTCCGCCTCCTGGGTTCAGACAATTATCCTGCCTCAGCCTCCTGAGTAGCTGGGATTACAGGCACGCGCCACCATGCCCAGCTAATTTTTGTATTTTTAGTGGAGACGGAGTTTCACCATGTTGGCCAGGATGGTCTCGATCTCTTGACCTCATGATCTGCCCGCCTCGGCCTCCCAAAGTGCTGGAGTTACAGGCGTGAGCTACCGCGCCCGGCCTAATTTTTTTAATTAAAAATTTTTTAATTAAATTTCTTTAATTAAAAAATGTTGTTTCAGTGCTGTGACTTGGATTTTTTTTTTTTTTTCTTTTTTTTGAGATTTGAGTCTTGCTCTGTCACTCAGGCTGGAGTGCAATGGCGCAATCTCGGCTCACTGCAACCTCCACCTCCCGGGTTCAACCGATTCTCCTGCCTCAGCCTCCCGAGTGCTGGGATTATAGGCACGCACCACCATGCCCAGCTGATTTTTCGTTTTTTTTTTTTTTTTTTTTTTTTGAGACGGAGTTTCGCTCTTGTTACCCAGGCTGGAGTGCAATGGCACGATCTCGGCTCACCGCAACCTCCGCCTCCTGGTCTCAGGCAATTCTCCTGCCTCAGCCTCCTAAGTATCTGGGATTACAGGCACGCGCCACCATGCCCAGCTAGTTTTATTGTATTTTTAGTAGAGACGGGGTTTCACCATGTTGACCAGGATGGTCTCGATCTTTCGACCTCGTGATCCACCCGCCTCGGCCTCCCAAAGTGCTGGGATTACAGGCTTGAGCCACCGCGCCCGGCCGATTTTTCCTATTTTTAATAGAGACGGGGTTTCACCATGTTGACCAGGATGGTCTCGATCTATTGACCTCGTGATCCAACTGCCTCAGCCTCCCAAAGTTCTGGGATTACAGGCTTGAGCCACCACGCCCGGCCTGTTAACATCTTTTGCGTGTGTGTGGGGGGTGGCAGGGGTGGCGGGAGAGGGGACAGAATCTCGCTCTATTCCCCCAGGCTGGATTGCAGTGTTGCCATCTGGGCTCACTGCAACCTCCCCTTCCCCGGTTCAAGCGATTCTCCTGCCTCAGCCTCCCAAGTAGCTGGGACTACAGGTGCAAACCACTACGCAGGGCAATTTTTTTTTTTTGTTTTGTTTTTTGTATTTTTAGTAGAGATGGATTTTCAACATGTTGGCCAGGTTGGTTTTGAAGTCTTGACCTCAAGTGATTCACCCACCTCAGCCTCCCCTAGTGCTGATATTACAGGCATGAGCCACCTAGCCCAACCCATCTTTGTTTTAAATTACCAATTATAAGCCGGGCACTGTGGCTCATGCCTATAATCCCAGCACTTTGGGAGGCTGAGTGGTGTGGATCACCAGAGGTCGGGAGTTCGAGACCAGCCTGACTGACATGGAGAAACCCCATCTCTACTAAAAATACGAAAATTAGCCAGACATGGTGGCTCATGCCTGTAATCCCAACTACTATGGAGGCTGAGGTAGGAGAATTGCTTAAACCCAGGAGTCGGAGGTTGCAGTGAGCCGAGATCTCAACACTGCACTCCAGCCTGGGCAACAAGAGCAAAACTGCATCTCAAAAAAAAAAAAAAAAAAAATTACCAACTATAAACTGAGTTTCTCCCAAAGTTAGTTCAGCCTACACCCAGGAATGAACAAGGACCAAGCATGCCAAATAAAAAATGTTTTTTTTGTTTTGAAACGGAATCTCACTCTGTCACCCAGACTGGAGTGCAATGGCGCTACCTGGGCTCACCGCAACCTCCGCCTCCTGGGTGTAAGCAATTCTCCTGCCTCAGCCTCCCAAGTAGCTGGGATTACAGATGCACACCACCACGCCTTGCTAATTTTTTTTGTATTTTTAGTAGAGACAGGGTTTTTCCATGTTGGCCATGCTGGCCTTGAACTCCCAACCTTAGGTGATCCACCCACCTCAGCGTCCCAACGTCCTGGGATTACAGTCGTGAGCCACCTCGCCTGGCAAAAAAATGTTTTAAAAAATCAGCTGAGCATGGTAGTGTGTGCCTGTAGTTCCAGCTACTTAGGAGGCTGAGGTGGGAGGATTGCTTGAGCCCTGGAATTGGAGGCTGCAGTGAACAATGATTGTATCACTATACTTCAGTTTGGGTGACTGAGCGAGACCCTGTCTCTAAAAAACAAAAAGGCCTGGCCAGGTGCTGTGGCTCACGCCTGTAGTCCCAGCACTTGGGAGGCTGAGGCGAGCGGATCACAAGGTCAAGAGATCGAGACCAGCTTGGCCAACATGGTGAAACCCGTCTCCACTAAAAATACAAAAATTAGCCGGACATGGTGGCACATGCCTGTTGTCCCAGCTACTCAGGAGGTTGAGGCAGGAGAGTCGCTTGAACCTGTGAGGCGGAGGTTGCAGTGAGCCAAAATCGTGCCACTGCACTCCAGCCTGGTGACAGAGTGAAACTCCATCTCAAAAGGAAAAAAGAAAAAGGCCCAAACACTTTGGGAGGCCAAGGCAGGTGGATCAGCTGAGGTCGGGGGTTCAAGACCAGCCTGACCAATATGACAAAACTCTGTCTCTACTAAAAATACAAAAATTAGCTGGGTGTGGTGGCAGGCGCCTGTAATCCCAGCTACTCAGGAGGCTGAGACAGGAGAATTGCTTGAACCTGACAGGCAGAGGTTGCAGTGAGCCGAAATAACACCACTGAACTACAGACTGGGCAACAAGAGCTAAAACCCATCTAAAAATAAATAAATAGGCCAGGTGCAGTGGCTCAAGCCTGTAATCCCAGCACTTTGGGAGGCCGAGGCGGGTGGATCACGAGGTCGAGAGATCGAGACCATCCTGGTCAACATGGCGAAACCCCGTCTCTACTAAAAATACAAAAAACTAGCTGGGCGTGGTGGCGCGTGCCTGTAATCCCAGCTACTTAGGAGGCTGAGGCAGGAGAATTGACTGAGCCCAGGAGGCGGAGGTTGCGGTGAGCTGAGATCGTGCCATTGCACTCCAGCCTGGGTAACAAGAGCAAAACTCCGTCTCAAAAATAAAATAAAATAAAATAAACAATAAATAAATAAAAATAAATAAAAAGCAAAAAAGCCAACAGTCAGTATCTTCAGCTTTGTTGAGTAGTGTAACTGCTACACTCTGCTGTTGTAGAGAAAATGCAGCCATAAATGATACATAAATGGACTGGCACAGCTGTGTGCCAATAAAGCTTTGTCTACAGACACTGGAATTTGAATGTTATGCAATTTCCACATTTGATAGAATCATTTTCATCTTTTGATTTTTTTTTTTTTTTTTTTTTTTTTGAGACGGAGTTTCGCTCTTGTTACCCAGGCTGGAGTGCAATGGCGCGATCTCGGCTCACCGCAACCTCCACCTCCTGGGTTCAGGCAATTCTGCCTCAGCTTCCTGAGTAGCTGGGATTACAGGCACGTGCCACCATGCCCAGCTAATTTTTTGTATCTTTAGTAGAGACGGGGTTTCACCATGTTGACCAGGATGGTCTCGATCTCTCGACCTCGTGATCCACCCGCCTCAGCCTCCCAAAGTGCTGGGATTACAGGCTTGAGCCACCGCGCCCGGCTGAAACTCCGTCTTAAAAAAAAGTAAGAGCCTTTCTTAGCTCACAGGTCATAGAAAAAGAGGCTGCAGCTAGATTTGGCCTACAGACACAAATAGGAAACATAACTTTTCTTTTTTCTTTTTTTTTTTTGACGGAGTTTTGCTCTTTGTTGCCCAGGCTGGAGTGCAGTGGCTCAATCATGGCTCACTGCAACCTCTGCCTCCCAAGTTCAAGCGACTCTCCAGCCTCAACCTCCCGAGTAGTTGGGACTACAGGCGCCTACCACCACGCCCGGCTAATTTTTGTATTTTTAGTAGAGACGGGGTTTCACCATGTTGGCCAGGATGGTCTCGAAGTCTTGACCTCAGGTGATCCACCTGCCTCGGCCTCCCAAAGTGCTGGGATTACAGGCTTGAGCTACAGCACCCATTTTTTTTTTTTTTTTTTTTTTTTTGATACGGAGTTTCATCATGTCACCCAGGCTGGAGGGCAATGGTCTGACTCGGCTCACTAAAACCTCCGCCTCCTGGGTTCAAGTGATTCTCCTGCATCAGCCTCTCAAGTAGCTGGGACTACAGGCGTGCGCCACCACGCCTGGCTAATTTTGTAGTTTCAGTAGAGATGGGGGGGTTTCTCCGTGCTGGAACTCCTGACCTCAAGCGATCTGCCCTCCTCAGCCATTTCAAGCATGAGCTGCCCGCCTTTTTTTGTTTGTTTTTTTTTGTTTGTTTTTCAGACAGGGTCTTACTCTGTTGCCCAAGCTGGAGTGCTGTGTTGTAATGACAACACACTGCAGCTTCGACCTCCTGGGCTCAAGCTGACCCTCCCCCTGCCGCCTTAGCCTCCCAGGTAGCTAGAATTCCAGGTGCAAGCTACCTCACCCTGTAAGAATCCTATTCTCTTTTGGACTGACAAACTCCTACTCATCCATCAAAGCCCCTGCTCCAATGGCCCCTTCTCTCAGGAACCTGCCCTGGTTCTACGCCACCTCCCAGCTATTAGAGTTCCCTGGGAGGGGGTGAGACGCCTCTAAGTGGCAGAGAGGGGCCCTCCTTCCTGCCCCAAAGGGATTCAGGTCCCAGCCAGGCCTCCTTCCTTCCCCCGTCTGGCAGAAGAGGAGACTGAGGCAGAGAAGGGTCTGAGCAGGGAGCCGGCAGGAGCGCCACGTCCAGGCGGTCCAGAGCCTCCGCCCCTCCCTGCCTCAGTTTCCCTTTGATTCAAAGGGGGCGAGCCCCCCCCCACCGCCGGTCTCCGGGAACGGGGCTGCCCGGGCCGGGCGGTGGTTCGGGGCGAACCGAGGGGGCTCCGGAAGTCCGCGGCCGCAGGAATTCGGCGCCTCCAGACCTTATAAGGACATTTGCGCACCGGGCCAATCACCGACGGGGGCGGGGCGCGCGGGGCCCAGAACGTCCCACCCGCGCGCCCTGGGCCAATCAGCGGCGGGAGCGGGGCGCGCGGGGCCCAGAACGTCCCACCCGCGGGCTACGTACCAATCAGAGGTGGGGGCGGGGCCAAGAACGTCCCACCCACGCGCCCCGAGCCAATCAGCGGCGGGGGCGGGGCGCGCGGGGCCCAGAACGTCCCACCCGCGCCCCGCGGTCCCGTCCCGTCCCGTCCGGCCCCGTCCCGCCGCGCGCGCGCTAGCCATGAGCTCCACGCAGTTCAACAAGGGCCCGTCGTACGGGCTGTCGGCGGAGGTCAAGAACCGGGTGAGTGCGGGGCGCGCCCCCAGTCGAGCGCTCGGACCCGAGCAGGACCCCCCAGCCCCGGGGACCCCTAACACCGCGCGGGCAGGGACCTCGGAGACCCGGGGCGGAGTGGCCCTCGTTCTCCCTGACGCCTGCGGGGGAGGGTGTGTGTGTGTCGGGGTCGGGTCTGCGGGCGCCCCCTGAAGCTCCAGCGAATCTGGGGGAGCAGCGAGGTCTGAGATGTGGGAGAAGAGCGACCCACTCATCTCCCCAGCATCTCGGGGTGCTTGGGTCTGGCCTCCTCCCCTAGCCATGGCCCCCGGACCCCCACGTGGAAGCCCCCGGACCCCCACATGGAAGCCCCCGGCCCCTCTCATCCTTCGAGAAGGTTCGTTCAAGGTCCGAAAACGCTCTAGGGGTCTAGGGGGACCCCAGCAAGTTCGTCATCTCCTGGCCACACTTCTGCTTTTGGGGCCTCTTAGCTTTGTGAGGGGAAGGGGCGGGGCTGAGTGGTTTTTGAGAAGTGTTGCACCCCCCCGCCCCCCCACAGGAATTTCCTGACTTCTCGGACACCTTGAGGGTGTCCTGCGCGAAGTTCTTTGTCCCCGTCTGACAAACGGATAGGGACAACGAAGGGGTTCTCTGAAGGTGCCTCTAAAATATGTGGGGTTTTGCAGCCTGGAAACAAGATTTGGGGCCTGGCCCGTCGCGGTGGTTCACGCCTGTAATCCCAGCACTTTGGGAGGCGGAGCTGGGTGGATGGCCTGAGCCCAAGGAGTTCGAGACCAGTCTGGGCAATATGGCGAAACCCCGTCTCTATAATTTAAAAAAAAGAAAGAAAAAAAAAAAAAAGCTAGGGTTAGCGGGAGACACTTTTTAAGAACGCGCTCTTGTGGTTCTGGCTCAGAGAGGGGCAGACACTTCTGCGGGGTCACACAGCAGGGTACTGGACAGGATTCCTACGGAAAGCGGGGGGCAGGGGCTGTGATCCCAGTCCCAGGGAGGGGAGCGGGACCTGACACTCCAGGACCTTCCAGCTGGAGGGGAGGTGTCGTCCCCACCCACCCCCTCCCCCGACACCCACCGGGCACCTGGAAGGTGTCCTCACAGCTGGCTTCTGCAGGGGAACCTGCCTCTGCACTCCGAGGGCACAGGCCGTGCCAGCCGCGACAGCCACCTGAGAACCGGCAGGCTGGAGGGAGAATTCCTGCTTCCCGCCGTGAGCTCCAAGCCTTCACACAAGCTCTTGGCCAAAAAGGGAGACTGAGGCTTGGCCAGTGACTCCCCCTTCTAGGGGACATCTGCACCCTGTATTCTCAGAGCCCCCCGTGCAGTAGGGTGGGCACCTTGCCGCACCCGCCACACAGCCGGTGTCCACGGGGACCCAAGAGACGTCGTTCCAGCTGCCCAGGGCCACACAGCCCGCAAGGGGCAGGACCAGGATGGGAACCCAGTGCCTGCTGGGCCTGAGGAAGTGGGAGAGGGCACAGCAGGGTGGGGCGGCTTCCGCAGTCGGGGTGGAGAGGTGGCAGGTTGGTACCTGCCCTGGCGGGGGTGAGGGCAGAGGCTGGCAGGGTGGCCCAGCAGACTCCCCGCGAAACCCTCAGTCTGCCTGTCTGGAGGGTGGGTGAGGCATGGGCCAGCTTGCCAGGGTCAAGGAAGGGTGGTATCCCAGTGAGAAACCAGCTGCCCCTGGCTTCCGCCCGCAGCCGTCTGCTTTACCCGCTGCTAAAAACAGCCAGAGACCTCTGTCTCCCTCCCCCAATGCCCCGTGCCTCAGTTTACTCCCGGCTGGACGGCACAGAAGCTGCTGGGATCCACCGTGTCCTCGGCCTCGCATTCCGGCTGGGGGTCTGGACCCGCTGGGAACAGCTGGTTCAGATTTAGCCAGGGACGCAGCACACATTCCTGGCAGTTTGTGGTCAACAGGAATGTGCTGGAAGGCCGGCGGCCGGGCAGCAGGGGAGGGCGACGGCTGCGGGGGCGGGGCCGGGCCAGGAGCCTCTGCCAGGGACCCCTGCCCACCCCCCCAGCCGGCAGGGACGAGGCGCAGCTGGGCAAGGCAGGGCTGTGCACCCGACAGCTGCCCGTTCTCACTCCTCGGGATCAAAGCTGCCGGCGGGGCGGGGCTGTCCCGAGCGTGGGAACCCAAGCTGGGTGGGCTGCAAGCTGGGGAGCCTCCCGCCTTTGCCTCGTCGGGGCCACAAGCTGTCTCCAGGCAGGTCCCAGGTCGGGGGGACCCTAACGCAAATGATTCCAGGCAGAGATGAGGAAGCCGAAGCTGAGGGGAGAGGACTGTCCACCCGAACCTGGGGAGCTGGGCGCAGAGCCAGGGGTGGGATTTGATTTTCTTTCTTTCTGTTCCTCCCTCCCTCTCTCCGTCTCTTTCTTTCTCCCTTTCTCTTTCCTTCCTTCTTCCTTTCTCTTTTCTCATTTTTCTTTCCTTTCTTCTTTCCTCTTCCTCTCTCTCTGCATTTCTCTCCTTCCTTTTTCCCTCCCTACTTCCTTCCTTCCTTCCTTCTTTTTCTTTTCTTTTTTCTTTTCTTTCTCATTCTGTTCCAGGCTGGAGTGAATTGGCCTGGTCTCCACCCACTGCCTCCTCCCCCTCCTGGGTTCAGGCGATTCTCCTGCCTCAGCCTCCTGAGCAGCTGGGATTACAGGTGCCCGCCACCACGCCCAGCTAACTTTTTGTATTTTTAGTAGACACGGGGTTTCACCATGTTCGCCAGGCGGGTCTCAAAGCCCTGGCCTCAGGTGATCCTGCGCCTCGGCCTCCCACGGTGCTGGGATGACAGGCTTGAGCCACCACGCCCGACCCAACCTACTTTATTTTCCCTGGAGCATTTCTCTCCCGCTCCCGCTCACTTCTGGTCCCCTATACACTTTGCCATCTCCGCCGTCACTGGTGGCTGCATATTGACGCTCAAGGTCCCCAGCGGGGTGCACCCACTGCCCAGGAGCACACAACCCATTCCCCGCGGCAGTGTGTCAGAGCACCAGAGGCCAAGAAAGCTGGAGTGGCCGGGTGCAGGACGGGAGTCAGGTGTGTGAGCAGAGACTGTCACTCCCTAGAGCAGCTCCTTCCGGAGGTGCTAAAAAGCAGAATCAGGCCAGATCGGTGGCTCACACCTGTAATCCCAGCACATTGGGAGGCTGAGGCGGGTAGATCACTTGAGGTCAGGAGTTCTCGACCAGCCTGACCAACGTGGTGAAACCCCATCTCTACTAAAAATACAAAAATTCCCCGGGTGGGCTGGCGCATGCCTGTGATTCCAGCTACTCTGGAGGCTGACGCAGGAGAGTCACTTGAACCCAGAGGCGGAGGTTGCAGTCAGCTGAGGTCGCGCCACTGCACTTCAGCCTGGGTGACAGAGTAAGACTCCATCACCCAAAAATAAATAATAAATAAATAAAAATAAATAAAGTAGGGTCGGCAAGACAGGGACACTCGGGAGGCTGTCCCGGCCAGGGTGGTCAGGGAAATCCTTGCCAGGGAGGCGACCTTCCTTTCGTGGCTGGCCTGCAGGGAGGGACCCACCTGTGCACACCTCAGGGCTGGCGCTGACAGCACGTGCAAAGGCCCTGAGGCAGGGGGCAGCCAGGCCACATGGGAAAGAGGAAGATTTGGGCAGCTCCTCAGTAAGTTACTGGCTGGGCGCGGTGGCTCACTCCTGTGATCCCAGCACTTTGGGAGGCCGAGGCAGGTGGATCACCTGAGCTCAGGAGCTCGAGACCAGCCTGGCCAATGTGGTGGAACCCCGTCTCTACTAAAAATACAAAAATTAGATGGGCGTGGCGTCGAGTACCTGTAGTCCCAGTTACTCAGGACGCTGAGGCAGGAGAATCGCTTGAACCCGGAGGCGGAGGTTGCAGTGAGTCGAGATGGCGCCACTGCATTTCAGCCTGGGCGACAGAGCGAGAGACTCTGCCTCAGAAAAAATATGAAAGAGGTGGCAGGGCCGGGCGTGGTGGCTCACGCTTGTAATCCAAGCACCTTGGAGGCCAAGGTGGGCGGATCACCTGAGGTCAGGAGTTCAAGACCAGCCTGACCAACAAGGTGAAACCCCGTCTTTAAAAAATAATAAATAGTAAAAGAGGTGGCGGTTGCGCACCAGATGTTCTGAATGCTGAGAAGTTGTGCTCTTGCAGGTGGTTGCAGTGGTAAATGTCAGGTGGGAGCAGCGGAGAGGCGAGAAGGCAGGGTGCGGGGGCAGATCCCGCCAGCTTGTCCTGCATCGCTGTGGATTAGAGCTGATGTTTATCAGGGAGTTCTGAGCCCGTCGTCGGCTTGCTGGGCTGTGGTTTCTCTGTGCCCACCTGCAGGGGCTGGGGCGCACCTAATGATGGGAACGGAGGAGCATCTTCGTGGGTGTGGTGAGGCGGACCTCCAGGCCCCTCTGTCTCCTGTTGCTCTGGAGTCCCCAGCCCCGCCCAGTCTGGAGCTTCCGAGGGGCATCTGCAGGGTGTACCCCCACCCCAACTCAGTCTCATGCCCTTTGCTCCACCAGCTCCTGTCCAAGTATGACCCGCAGAAGGAGGCAGAGCTCCGAAGCTGGATCGAGGGACTTACCAGCCTCTCCATCGGCCCCGACTTCCAGAAAGGCCTGAAGGACGGGATCATCTTATGCACGTGAGTGCACACAGGGACACGAGCTGTCTCACACTAACAAATCTTGGTTTTTCTCACTTTTTCTTTTTTTTAAGAAATTTTTGCGGGGCCAGGCACAGTGGCTCATGCTTATAATCCTGGTACTTTGAGAGGCTGAGGTGAGGGGATCACCTGAGGTCAGGAGTTTGAGCCCAGCCTGACGAACGTGGCGAAACCCTGTCTCTACTAAAAATACAAAAATTAGCCAGGCACAGTGGCTCACACCTTGTAATTCCAGCTACTTGGGAGACTATAGGAGAATCCCTTTAACTCGAAGATGGAGGTTGCAGTGACCCAAGATTGTGCCACTGCACTCCAGGCTGCACTGGGGGAGTGAGACTCCATCTCAAAAAAAAAAAAAAAAAAGTTTTTTTTGGCTAGGCTTGGTGACTCAAGCCTGTAATCCTGGCACTTTGGGAGGCCTAGGCAGGGTGGATCACTTGATGTCAGGAGTTCAAGGCCAACTTGGCCAACATGGTGAAATCCTGTCTCTACTAAAAATACCAAAAAAAAAGCCAGGCGCAGTGGCTCACGCCTGTAATCCTAGCACTTTGGAAGGCCGAGGTGGGTGGATCACCTGAGGTCAGGAGTTCAAGACCAGCCTGGCCATCGTGGTGAAACCCATCTTTAAAATAAAAAAATAAAAAACCAAAAATATTAGTCGGGCGTGGTGGTGTCAGATACCTGTAATCCCAGCTCCTCAGGAGGCTGAAGCAGGAGAATCGCTTGATCCTGAGAGGCAGAGGTTGCAGTAGGTTGAGATTGCACCACTGCACTCCAGCCTGAGCAACAGAGCGAGACTCCATCTCAAAAATGAATAAATAAGAATGTAGAAATCCCATTTGACCCAGCAATCCCATTACTGGGTATATATCCAGAGGATTATAAATTGTTCTACTCTAAGGACACATGCACACAAATGTTCACTGCAGCACTGTTTACGATAGCAAAGACCTGGAGCCAACCTAAATGCCCATCGATGATAGACTGGATAGGGAAAATGTGGCACATATACACCACGGAATATTACGCAGCCATCAAAAACGATGAGTTCGTGTCCTTTGTAGGGACATGGATGAACCTGGAAACCATCATTCTCAGCAAACTGACACAAGAGCAGAAAATCAAACACCACATGTTCTCACTCACAGGCGGGTGTTGAACAATGAGGACACATGGACACAGGGAGGGGAGCATCACACACTGGGGTCCGTTGGGGGGAAATGGGGGAGGGACGGGGGGTGGGGAGGTGGGAAGAGAGAGCATGGGGCGAAATGACAGATACAGGTGAGGGGGAGGAAGGCAGCAAATCACACTGCCACGTGTGTACCTGTGCAACAGTCCTGCATGTTCTTCACATGCACCCCAAAACCTAAAATGTAATTAAAAATAAATAAATAAATCAATAAATCAGAACGCGGGACATGAGCCTTCGGGCCTTCAGGGTTCCTCGCTGCTCACCAAGGTTTCCGTCCCCCCTAGACTCATGAACAAGCTGCAGCCAGGCTCAGTCCCCAAGATCAACCGCTCCATGCAGAACTGGCACCAGGTGAGGGGCTGGCGGGATGGAGCAGGCACGGGGCTGGGGGGCCCACCTGACAAGTGGGGAAACTGAGGCCCGCTCACCGCCTCTCTCCTGCCTCCTCCCAGCTGGAAAACCTTTCCAACTTCATCAAGGCCATGGTCAGCTACGGCATGAACCCCGTGGACCTGTTCGAGGCCAACGACCTGTTTGAGAGCGGGAACCTGACGCAGGTGCAGATGTCTCTTCTGGCCCTGGCAGGGAAGGTGAGGCCCAGAGAGGGGCAGCCACCGGCCCAGAGTCATACAGCGAGGTGGACGTAGCTGCTGCATTCACTCGTTTGCAGATTTTTGTTTGTTTGTTTCTTGTTTTGTTATTTTTTTTGTTTGTTTTTGAGACGAGTCTCACTGTGTCGTCAGGCTGGAGTGCAGTGGCGCGATCTCGGCTCACTGCAACCTCTTCCTCCCGGGTTCAAGCGATTGTCCTGCCTCAGCCTCCCGAGTAGCTGGGATTACTGGGGTGTGCCGCTACGCACAGCTAATTTTGGTATTTTTAGTAGAGACGGGGTTTCACCGTGTTGGCCAGGGTGGTCTCGATCTCCTGCCTCAGTCTCCCAAAGTGCTGGGATTACAAGCATGAACCACCGAGCCCGGCCGTTTGTTTTTGAGACAGAATCTCTCTCTGTTGTCCAGGCTGGAGTGCACCGGTGCAATCTCAGCTGACTGCAACTTCTACCTCCCAGGTTCAAGTGATTTTCCCCCGCTAAGCCTCCCAACTGGTGGGGCCTGCAGGCACCTGCCACCACACCTGGATAATTTTATATTTGTTTTTAGTAGAGATCGGGTTTTACCATGCTGGCCACGCTGGTCTTGAACTCCTGTCCTCAGGCGATCCACCCACCTCAGCCTCCCTAAGTGCTGGGATTATAGGCGTGACCCACCATGGCCGACCTTGTTTGCAAATATTTCTGAGTGCCTGCCAGGTGCCGGGCACCTCAGATTCCTTGGTGACCAGGAAAGGCTTGGTCTACCCCTTTAGGGAGTTCAGTCTGATGGGGGAGGCATGCAGAAGTAAGCACAGCATTTTCTTTTGTGTTAGATGTAACCTGTGGCCGGGCGCGGTGGCTCGCGCCTGTAATCCTAGCACTTTGGGAGGCCAAGGTGGGAGGATCATTTGACACCAAGAGTTCGAGACCAGCCTGGCCAACATGGTAAAACCCCATCTCTATTAAAAATGCAAAAATTAGCGGCCGGGCACGGTGGCTCACGCCTGTAATCCTAGCACTTTGGGAGGCTGAGGTGGGTGGATCACCTGAGGTCAGGAGTTCAAGACCAGCCTGGCCATCATGGTGAAACCCCATCTTTTTTTTTTTTTTTTTTTTTTTTTTTGAGACGGAGTTTCGCTCTCGTTACCCAGGCTGGAGTGCAATGGCACGATCTCGGCTCACCGCAACCTCCGCCTCCTGGGTTCAGGCAATTCTCCTGTCTCAGCCTCCTGAGTAGCTGGGATTACAGGCACGTGCCACCATGCCCAGCTAATTTTCTGTATTTTTAGTAGAGACGGGGTTTCACCATGTTGACCAGGACGGTCTCGATCTCTTGACCTTGTGATCCACCCATCTCGGCCTCCCAAAGTGCTGGGATTACAGGCTTGAGCCACCACGCCCGGCTTTTTTTTTTTTTTTTAAGATGGAGTTTGGCTCTTGTTACCCAGGCTGGAGTGCAGTGGCGCGATCTTGGCTCACCACAACCTCCGCCTCCCGGGTTCAGGCAATTCTCCTGCCTCAGCCTCCTGAGTAGCTGGGACTACAGGCACACGCCACCATGCCCAGCTAATTTTTTGTATTTTTAGTAGAGACGGGGTTTCACCATGTTGACCAGGATGGTCTCGATCTCTTGACCTTGTGATCCACCCGCCTCGGCCTCCCAAAGTGCTGGGATTACAGGCTTGAGCCACTGCGCCTGGCCGAAACCCCATCTTTTAAAAAAAAAAAATTAGCTGGGCATGGTGATGCGAACCTGTAATTCCAGCTACTCGGGAGTCTGAGTGCAGGAGTGGGAGGTTACGGGGAGCTGTGATGGCAACACTGCCCTCCAGCCTGGGCAACAGAGCAAGACTCTCAAAAAATAATAACAAAAATAATAAATAAGATCTAAATTGGGAGAAATGCCTTGAAGGGGAAGAAAGAATTAGAGCACGCCAGGCTCACGCCTGTAATCCCAGCACTTTGGGAAGCTGAGATGGGTGGATCACCTGAGGCCAAGAGATCGAGACCAGCCTGGCCAACATGGTGAAACCCCGTCTCTACTAAAAATACAAAAATTAGCCGGGTGTAGTACCAGGCGCCTGTAGTCCCAGCTACTGAGGAGGCTGAGGCAGGAGAATTGCTTAAACCCGGGAGGTGGAGGCTGCGGTGAGCTGAGATCGTGCCACTGCACTCCAGCCTGGGTCACAGAGCCAGACTCCATCTCAAAAAAAAAAAAAAAAAGAATTAGACCAATTTTCAACATCTAGCGGCCCTCAAACCAAGACCGGCAGTGTGAGTGGGAACAGTGTCTTGTGTAGAAAGAACAGCAAGGTCTTGAAATTGGAAGTGGCTTGGGGTATTAGAGGAAGGGGGCTGGAAACAGATGCTTGGTGACTCAAAGAAATATCAGCACCGAGACAAAGGATCTTTCAGCGACGCAGTTCTTACTTCCTGGGCTGCGGGAAGGGGACCCTCTCGTAGCCATCGTGCCAGTAGAGTCCAATGAACAAAGGAAAAGCAGACAAATGTATCCCTTCCACATCTGGGGTCGTCCTCACTGCTGTGTCTGAACTCCGTTGGCTGGAGCCAGACCTCACCATCTAAACTAAAACCTGATTGGCTGACAACGTAAAACTTTTCTAAACAGGTAAGAGCCATGGCGAGCTGGGACAGGCCTGTGAGCACGTCCCGCACAGATATCCTGGTTGAGGCACAAGGATGTAGAATGTACTACGTGCCCGTAAGCATGGTGTGTCTAACAGCTACGTAGGACAGGGCTTCACGAAGTTATTAGCACACTAATTCTTTCACAAGAAAGGGAACTTTAAAAAGGAACTTTCCACTTCCCCCAAAGGGGGAGGTGGTTTTTTTCTTGGGAAAACTGCTCCAAATGTTGTTTTCAGAAGCCCCCTGTGGCTCCCTGTAACCTCACTTTGGGAGTGGAGGTCAGGGCAGAGCTGCCTGCAGGCATCCCAGGGGGAGGCAGTGGCAGTGGGCTGGCCAGGGTGCCCGGGGATTGGGTAGGAGGTGGTGGAAGGTGAGAGAGAGAGGAGGTGAAAAGCACATCCCCTCCTCCAGAATTCTTGGCCTGAGCTGTGGAAAGCTGGGATGAAACAGCCCTGTGAGTCCGGGCGGTATCTCATGCCTGTAATCCCAGCACTTTCAGAGGCCAAGGCGGGCAGATGACTTGAGGTCAGGAGTTCAAGACCAGCCTGGCCAAGATGGTGAAACTCCACCTCTACTAAAAATACAAAAATTAGCTGGGCATAGTGGTGGACACCTGTAATCCCCGCTACTCAGGAGGCTGAGGCAGGAGAATCGGTTGAACCCGGGAGGTGGAGGTTGCAGTGAGCTGAGATTGCGCCATTGCACTCCAGCCTGAGTGACAGAGCAAGACTCAATCTCAAAAAAAAAAAAAAAAAAAAAATCCAAGTCACAGCACTGAAACAACATTTTTTAATTAAAGAAATTTAATTAAAAATTTTTTAATTAAAAAAATTAGGCCGGGCACGGTAGCTCACGCCTGTAATCCCAGCACTTTGGGAGGCCGAGGCGGGCAGATCATGAGGTCAAGAGATCGAGACCATCCTGGCCAACATGGTGAAACTCCGTCTCCACTAAAAATACAAAAATTAGCTGGGCATGGTGGCGCGTGCCTGTAATCCCAGCTACTCAGGAGGCTGAGGCAGGATAATTGTCTGAACCCAGGAGGCGGAGGTTGCGGTGAGCCGAGATCGCGCCATTGCACTCCAGCCTGGGTAACAAGAGCGAAACTCCGTCTTAAAAAAAAAGACAAAAAAAGAAACAGCTCCGTGATGGGTGTGTGGAGTGGAGCCCCAGACACCCGAGAGATGTCCCCGCAGGGGCTCTGCGCAGCATGCCGAGGGGACAGGCTGCGGTCTGGCCTCTGTGCCTCCCCCAGGGCGCTGATTGCCCTCTCCTGGTATTCCCGGCCCCTTTCCCTCACCCAGGCCAAGACTAAGGGGCTGCAGAGCGGGGTGGACATCGGCGTCAAGTACTCGGAGAAGCAGGAGCGGAACTTCGATGACGCCACCATGAAGGCCGGCCAGTGTGTCATTGGGCTGCAGGTGGGCAACGGCTCCCCCGGCCCCAGGGACCAGCCCCAGGGATCAGGCATTAGCGGCGTGGAACCCTGCGGCCCTTCCAGTTGGGGAGGGACTGGAAGCCTGGGGGGCGCAGCGTGACCTCTCCCGCCAACCTCCCTGCAGATGGGCACCAACAAATGTGCCAGCCAGTCGGGCATGACCGCGTACGGCACGAGGAGGCATCTCTACGACCCCAAGAACCACATCCTGCCCCCCATGGACCACTCGACCATCAGCCTCCAGATGGGCACCAACAAGTGTGCCAGCCAGGTGGGGGTCCCCGCGTCCCCAGACCCCCTCCCGCGCCCCCACGCCCTGCGGTCTGCCACTGTTTCCACCTGGCTGTGGGCCCCCAGGGAAGTCACTACCCCACCCTGCCTTATTGACCCTTAAGGATTGCTCAAAGGTCCACCCAGTTCTAGTTTTTATTTATTTTATTGATGTATTTTTTAAGGACCTCACTCTGTGGCCCTGCCTAGAGTGCAGTGGTGCGATTGTGGCTCACTGTCACCTCTGCCTCTGGGCTCCAGGGCTCCTCCCACCCCAGCCCTCCAGGTACCTGGGAGTACAGGCGTGTGCCACCACACCTGGCTCATTTGTGTATTTCTAGTAGAGATGGGGTTTCACCATGTTGGCCAGGCTGGTCTCGAACTCCTGACCTGAGGTGATCCGCCCATCTTGGCCTCTCAAAGTGCTGGGATCACAGGCACCCGGCCAAAGTCCCCTCTTCTCTCCGCCGTGACGTGCTCCACCTCTCCCCGCTCTCCAGGTGGGCATGACGGCTCCCGGGACGCGGCGGCACATCTACGACACCAAGCTGGGAACCGACAAGTGCGACAACTCCTCCATGTCCCTGCAGATGGGCTACACGCAGGGGGCCAACCAGAGCGGCCAGGTCTTCGGCCTGGGCCGGCAGATATACGACCCCAAGTACTGCCCGCAAGGCACAGTGGCCGACGGGGCACCCTCCGACGCTGGCGACCGCCCCGACCCGCGGGAGGCCCCCGAATATCCCCCTTACTACCAGGAGGACGCGGGCTACTGAGGCTCCCAGCATGCTCTCTCCCCACGCCGTCTCCCCGTCTGGGTTTCTGGGGTTCTCTGTGTTTTCAGCTTTTTTTTATTGACCTGTTCAGTGCTGCCAATCAGCCGAGGGTCTGTGAGTGGCTCCTGGGATCAGGCGGCAGGGCTTTCTCCCCCTAGCCTTAATCCTTCACAGGACTGAGCCACTGGGCTGGCGGGGGAAGGGGTCAAGGCCGTATCCTGATGCCTGTAGGGTCAGGGTCCCTGCTGGCATGTCCAGGCTCTGGGCCGAGCTGTGCTGGGGAGAAGAAGCCTGGGCTTGGAGGGAACCGGTCCCTGAAGATTTCCGGTTGCCTCGTCTCATTTTGTCACCCGATCAGTTTGTGGTTTCTGTACCCGCAAAAGTTTCAGGAAGTAGTAACAAAAGAAAAATACATTTTTTTCCCCCCGCAAGGAATGGGGAGTGGGTGCCGGGCAGTGAGTCCCCTGGAAAGTGGGCCTGGCCAGGATGCTGAATATCTCAGGCTCCCAAGAGGCTGGATTTCCCTTGGGCCCTCAGACCTGCCCCGGGGCCTGGTGGGGAAATTGAGGCCTGTACAAGGCAGCGGAATTCTGAGTTGTTGGGGGCAAGTCTGACCCCGTCTCCATGCTACCCCGCCCTCCCCATAGCCCCAGTGGGTTTCTTTTCGTTGTGGCTGTTACCCAGGCTAGAGTGCCGTGGGGCAATCTTCGCCCACTGCACCTCCCCCTCCCGAGCTCAAGGGATTCCCTGGCCTCAGCCTCCCAAGTAGCTGGGACTGCAGGTGCTCCACCACACTGGCTAATTTTTGTATTTTTGGTAGAGAGACAGGCTTTCACCATGGTGGCCAGGCTGCTCTCGAACTCCTGGCCTCAGGTGATCCCCCCACCTCGGCCTCCCCAAATACTAGGATTACAGGCATGAGCCACTGTGCCCGGCCCTTCAGTAGGTTTTCAGGAGCCCCGGCCCTCCTCCTCCCCTTCTGGGCCTGACCAGCTATACTGCTCCATCTCCTCAGGCAACACACCCCACCCAGTACTGCACAGGGACCCTCACCCGGGGGCCCTGCTCCATGAGATAATGTGAAACCCAGCTGTGGACCAAACGCAATAAAACCTCTGTTTGTAAAAAGAGAAGGTGGCTGAGAGGGTTGGTCCTTGGGGGCGTGTTTGGCTTTGATGCTTCTGCGGGGACAGAAGGCAGGATGGGGGATCAAGGGGCAAAGGTCCACCTTACCCTTGGGAGGAGTAGCAAAAGCTGAAAGCCACAGGTGAGTCTGGGTGGAACGAATGATTTGAGGGGTGTGACTCGGGGTAGAGGGAGAGGCTGGGCTTCCTGGGCAGTTGGAGAGGAAGCAGTTGCCTCAAGGCACCCCCATGCGCTCTGGCTGCACCCTGCCCTACAGTGCATGCCTCGCGGCCTCAGCCTGGACGTCTTCCCGCTGGCAAACTCCTATTTATCATCAAAGCCCCAGAGGCAATGCCATCTTCTTCCTCCGAGGGAGCCCTCCCCACGCCTCTCTCTCTCCCCAGCGCCTTCAAAGCTGTGGACCGACACACTCCCATTTCAGCTTCACCTCCATCCTGCAAAATAAACTCTGCCTCCAGATTGGGAAACGGGTGTCCCTCAAAATCAGGGTAACCATTATGACCAGTGACTCTAATGTTAGAATGTTGGGGGCCGGCCGGGCGCGGTGGCTCACGCCTGTAATCCAAACACTTTGGAGGCCAAGGAGGGCGGATCACCTGAGGTCGGGAGTTCAAGACCAGCCTGACCAACATGGTGAAACCCAGTCTTAAAAAAAAAAAAAAAAAGTATGTTGGGGGCCCCTCCCCCGTCTGCCATCGCCTTGTACTACTGCAGAAATCGAGGAGCGTTCGTGGAATGAATCAAAGAATGACGACCCTAATGGAACCCCCACTTCACAGACGGACAAGCGGAGTCCCAGGGTCGGGACTAGTCTGGAGGGAGCCAGGCCAGCCCCGGGGAGAGCGGGGACAGGGGAACTTCTGCAATTCGGAGCTGCGGTATTGCAGCCGGCTATGCAACGTGGGGAGGCAGCCTGGCTCTCCAAAGACGGCGCGGCCCGGTTCCCGGAGGCCGGTCCACCTGGGACCAGCTGGGCACCCCGCCACCCCACGGTGATGCAGCAAAAGCCGCGCGGTCCCTTTAAGAAACCCGGCTCCGCGAGGCCCTTCTGTGATCCCGCCTCCTCCCTCGGCTCGCGCTGCTCCAACGGAGCCCTGCTGTGAGTGACGGGCAGATTGGCCAGTAGCAGCGCTCAGAGGCGGACGTGGCCCGGTGCGGCTACCTGCGCGCGGAAGCTCGGGGCACTTGTCTAGGGGCGCTGCTCCCGCAGGTCGCTCCCGTTAAAGGGGCCGCGCTCCTAGCGGCTGCCGGGTGGAGGGAAGGCGGTGAGAGCTGGGGAGCCCCCGGAACGGTGAGGGCTCGGAGCGGGAGGAAGGCCCGAGGCTGGAGAACGCGGGGTTGGGGCCGGGAGGGATGCACTTTCCCTGGGCGTTAGGGGGTCCAGCCTCTGGCTCTCCCCTTTATTCCGGTGGGTGTTGGGGGGGCGCTGAATTGACCACTAATTCTCCAGGGGACATCTGGGACCCCTAAGAGGGCCTTTGCCAATCACACACCAGCAGCCCCCGCCCCATTCGAACTCCTCCACGCCCCCTTCCCCCATTTTACAAAGGGAGAAACCGAGGGCCCTCCCCCAGATCCTAAGTCCCGCTGGCCTAAGGGTGTGGGTTCGAGGTCCCAGTTCCGGCCTGGTGACCTTTAGCAACGTCCTGACCCTCTGTCAGATTCTCCGTCTGTGTCAGAGGTGGACAAACCCAAGGAAAAGAGGAGGTCAGGAATGGCTGGCTCCAGGAGTCTCTACACCAGCTCCTTAACCTGACTCTCTGGCTCCCGAGTCCTGCTGAACGTTCGATGCTACAGATGGTGTGGACAGAGCTGGGGTCCTGCCTCCAGTTGTGCGACTCCCTGACTCTCTGGGTGCCAGGTATCTCTCTCTCTCTCTCTCTTTCTCTCTCTCTCTCTCTCTCTCTCTCTCTCTTTAAAGATGGGGTTTCACCATGATGGCCAGGCTTGTCTTGAACTCCTGACCTCAGGTGATCCACAGGATGTCATCCTAGGATGACAGGCGTGAGCCCCCGTGCCCGGCCAGGTATCTCTCTTGAGCCTCGATTTCCACTTCTGTGGAGTGGGGTGGCGGTCAGGCACTTCCGCTGGGCGTGTGAAATGTGCGGCACAGGCCGGGCGCGGTGGCCCCCGCCTGTAATCCCAGCACTCTGGGAGGCCGAGGCGGGTGGATCACCTGAGGTCTGGAGTTCGAGACCAGCCTGGGCAAGAGCGTGAAACCCCGTCTCTACTATAAATAAATAAATAAATAAATAAAATTAGCCGGACGTGGTGGTGCGTGCCTGTAATCCCAGCTCTTGGGGAGGCTGAGGTAGGAGAATCACTTGAACCCGGGAGGCAGAGGTTGCGGTGAGCCAAGATCGCGCCATTGCACTCTAGCCTGGGCAACCAGAATGAAACTCCGTCTCAAAAGAAAGAAAGAAAGAATAGGCCGGGCGCGGTGGCTCACGCCTGTAATCCCAGCACTTTGGGAGGCCGAGGCGGGTGGATCATGAGGTCAAGAGATCGAGACCATCCTGGTCAATATGGTGAAACCCCGTCTCTACTACAAATACAAACAATTAGCTGGGCATGGTGGCGCGTGCCTGTCATCCCAGCTACTCGGGAGGCTGAGGCAGGAGAATTGCCTGAACCCAAGAGGCGGAGGTTGCGGTGAGCCGAGATCGCGCCATTGCACTCCAGCCTGGGCAACAAGAGGGAAACTCCGTCTCAAAAAAAAAAAAAAGAAAGAAAGAAATGCTCAGCCCTGCCAGTATTCGTTGCAGTTATCTTTCGAGAACAGTGAGGGTAAAGGAAGCTTTTCCTCGGCGGGGGATCAGGACTTGGAAGAGTTTCCAGGTGGGGCTTGGGGTGGAGCCTGATGAGGAAAGCGTTAAGCCCAGGATTAGTTAAATTCCCAGCTGTCAGCCCTTGCTCAGAGCGACAGTTCTGGCAGCCAATCAGATGCGAGGACGGCTGCGGCTTGAGCTCTCATTGGTGAACTCCACCCCTGGAGTCCTTTTATCAAGTGACTGCCGTTTGCCTGACTCTAATCAGAGCTTTCAGGAACCCTGCGCTGTGGGATCGAGCCCAGAGCGGGACAGGGAGTTGCCCGCAGCCGCACTGCGCGTCTTCAGCCCGAGCGTCGTCCTGACCTCTCTGTCCCGTCCCCTGCCCAGTCTCACCATGGCCTTCTGGACACAGCTGATGCTGTTGCTTTGGAAGAATTTCATATACCGCCGGAGACAGCCGGTAACGCCCCGGTGTGCGGCCAGGGCCGGGTGGGCAGGCAGCCCCCACTATCCCCCACCATCTCCCACGCGTTCTTCCCCAGCTCCAGCTCCTGGTCGAATTGCTGTGGCCTCTCTTCCTCTTCTTCATCCTGGTGGCCGTTCGCCACTCCCACCCCCCTCTGGAGCACCATGAATGTGAGCGCCCCGGGGACCAGGCACTTTGCATGTGTAGGGAAAGGTCATCCTGTGCACAGGGATCCCCAGTGCATGTCAGGGAGTCTTCATTGGATGGCTAATGCACGGCTTGGGAGTGAGCTCTCCGTCGCTGGGGGCATGCAAGCAGTGGTGGGTGACCCCATGGGGGTGGCGTCAGGCAGAGTCCACAGAGCCTCAGTGCCAGGCATCTCCCCCACTGCAGGCCACTTCCCCAACAAGCCACTGCCATCGGCGGGCGTCCTGCCCTGGCTCCAGGGCCTGATCTGTAACCTGAACAACACCTGCTTCCCGCAGCTGACACGAGGCGAGGAGCCTGGGCGACTGAGCAACTTCAACGACTCCCTGTGAGCTGGAGGCAGAGGGTGCGGCCAGCCACAAACTCGGGGCTGCAGCGCCGGCTGGAACCCCAACTCCTGCCCTCTCTGTCCCCAGGGTCTCCCGGCTGCTAGCCGATGCCCTCACTGTGCTGAGGGGGCCCAGTGTCCACAGGACGCTGGCTGGCCTGGGGAAGCTGATCTCTACGCTGAGGGCTGCACACATCGCAGGTGAGGAGGCCGGGGGCCTCTGGCGGGGCTGAGCTCTGAGCCTCAACTTGCCCAGCTGTGAAATGGGCACGAGGTGGGGGTGGTGCCTCAGGACAAGGTCTGCCCATCCCCACGCTCCCGTGTGCTCCTCCCCCAGCCCCGCCTCAACCGAGCAGGCAGCCTCCGCTGGAACCACCTGTGCGGGACCCTGCGGAGCTGCTGTCGCTGCTGCGTACGGTAGGGTGGTGGGGCGGGACCTCACTGACTTCCTGGGACGCTGCCCCACCCCGGGACAAGGGCCTCCCATTCCAGGCATCTGGGCTGTCCCTGGTCAGTGATGCTCCTTGTTCTTTCTGTGTCTGGACAGAGTATGTCTGACCTGGTATGATGAAGACTGGTCTGTGAGCTCTTGAACGAGTCCCTGTGCCTCTCAGAGCCTCAGTTTCCCTATTTGTCAAATGGGGGCTACGAGAGGATGATCTGCCTGGGAACTGGGCAGAGCGCTGGAGCCCTAGTCATTGACACCCTTGTGGTCTTTCTCCCCAGGAATCCCTGGGATCGGTGCTGGGCCAGGCCCAGGACCCCTTGCATAGTTTTCTGGAGGCAGCTGAGGACCTGGCGGAGGAGGTGAGGCCCATGCCTCCTCAGCCCTCACGGAGGCCACATTGGCGGGCAGCCTGCACGGGGAGAGTCCAGGGCAGCCTGGGCACTTCCCTTGGGTGGGTTTTCAGGGGAATTAGCAAGAGAGGGAGAGGCTGCCCCTGGCCCCGTGCCCTGCCCTGGTTAAGGCTTGGAGGTGGGATCATTGCCAGTTTCGTCTGGTGACCTCTCTCTAGCTTGGAGCACTGCCCAGCCTGGTGGAGCTTCAGGCACTGCTGCAGAAACCCCGAGGGAATGGTGGCCCCCTGGAGTTGTTGTCGGAGGTCCTCTGCAGCACCAGGGGGCCTAGCAGCACAGTGGGCCCCTCCCTCAACTGGTACGATGCTAGTGACCTGATGGAGCTGGTGGGGCAGGAGGAAGACTCGGCCCTGC